CGAGTCTCAGTCTCAATCCTCCTGCTTCCCGTGTGTATCATTTGTCATGTCAGCATTTATAGCCTCAGAGTGACGCCTCGTGTTCTCCCCTGCCCAGCATCCATTTCCCCGTCCTCTGTAACAGCACCCCGGTTTTCCTCCTAGAAGCCACCCCACGCCCCACCTTTAGTTCATGTGGTTCCAGTGTGGTGGACGTCAGGACACGCCTACTCTCATCCCCAGTCTCCCACCCTCAACCCCTAGCCCTTGCCCAGGCCCTAGGTCCGGCCAATCAGAGGATCCCGTTTCCCTGGCCACAATGTCCGGTTCATGGATGGGACCCATGTCTGGCCAGTGAGAGTTAATCACAGTCATTGCAGCCAGCGTGTGTGAAGAAGAGCTTTCTCTTCCCTGGGGCTGCTAAGCCTGGAGGCACCAGAAGCCAACACTCCGAGAGAGAATCTGCCTGAGAGTAAACCGACCCGGCAGGAACAGAGCTGAGAGATGGAGAGAGAGAGAGTGGGGCCGCTGCTTGTTCCCCTGGAGCCAGCTGTGCCTGAAGCTGCACCACAGAATTTTCAGTTATGTAAGCTGATACATTCCTCGTTTCTTGTTGAGCCGGTTGGAGTTGCACTTCCATCATTTACAGCAAAAGACAAGACAAGCACCTACTGGATAAAACTTTTCAGATCCGGAACCTACTCTCTAGAAGTTCACAGCCCGCAGGGTGGATATTCAGATCCCAGAGAAATTTCCCTCAACTAGAATTACCGAGGCAGAAAGGCAGACAGCACAACGGCAAGAATTTCAACACCTGGCGTTTAATCTCGGTTAATCCCTGTTCACACCTTCTCCTACCCAGGAGACACCACACCCTCACCGCATTCTGATTTGGGGCTGGCTTTTCTCTTTGCCCAGCCAACCCAGCAGCCCAGTGACAGGCTGTCTGTTTAAGAAACCGGGAAGGAAAACGCACACAGGCCAGTTTATCGCACACCTGGGCTTCGTTCACCAGTCTGACTGTTTTCTTCAAACGGTCAAAGATTTACGTTCAAAACTGGAGCCTGAGAAGTAACCACGTTGGAGGGTCTTGACCTGAAGTAGGTGAGTCTGGAGAGAAGAGGGAGGTGAGGTGAAGACTAGGGGGAAAGGAAAACATTGTCCAGGAGCTATAATGAGCTTTAAGGGTCCATGAGCCCCTGAAATTACAGTAGTGTGTATGTGTGTGTGTGTGTGTGTGTGTGCGCGCGCGCGTGTGTGCGTGCACGCGCATGCAAGTAAGTCTGCATAAAGAATGCAGCCATGCTTTTAAATCATATTTTCAAAGGAGTCCATCAACTCCAAAAGTTTAAGTCCGCCTAGTCTAGGATGTGGCCATCCTTCTAGGGGTGGATGTTTTAGTCTATTCAGGCTGCTATATACAAAGTACCATAGATTACATGGCTTATAACCAACGGAAATTTATTTCCATCAGTTCCAGAGGCTAGGAATTCCAACATCAGGGAGATTTTGGTGTTTAGTGAGAGCTCACTTCCTGGTATACAGATGGCTGCCTTCTTGCTACATCCTCACGTGGCAGAAGGGGCGAGGGTGGTCTCTGGGGTCTCTTTTCTAAGCCTCATGGAAGCTCCACCCTCATGACCTCATCCCCTCCCGAAGGCTCACCTTTTTACAGCATCACCGTCGGGGGTAGAATTTCAACATATAAATTCGGAGGCACACAAACATTCAGTCCACTGCAATGGGGAAACAAAAGCTTGGAGTCATTACGTTACATCACAGTTTGACCCCGTGCACATGGCCGACTTGTACCGGAGCTGGAAACGCACCAGCCATGGGGGCTGCCCAGGCTGCATGGCTGGGAAGGTGAGACAAGGGATGCGGGTCAGAGTCCCCAACCCCGACTTGCGCATCTTCTGATTTCAGCCTGGATGTCCACCTGGCCCTAGGCGCCCCTGCTCTGTGCCTGCCCCTGATGTCGTGCTGCTTCCCTTTGTGTGACGCTGTGTCTGTGTGCATCCGTTGATTGATGGCTTGGTGAAGTGCACATCTCAGACTCCACTTGGGCTACACCATGCTCAGAGACCTTCCCTTCTCCTAACGAACCAACCCTTCCTGCAGCTTCCCCGTCTCAAGGAAGGACAGCTCCCCCGTCCCAGGTGCCAAGGTCAAAAGCCCTGGAGGCATTTTTGCCTCCCCACTGCCCCTCACTCTCCAAGTCCAGTCCGTAAGCAAATCCGGTTGGCTGGACCTACCTTTGACCTTCAACATAGATCCCAAACCTGCCTCTGCCCTCCCTGTCTCGTCTCCGTCTGATCCACTGAATGTCTCTCACCTGACCCACTGAATTTGCTTCCTGGTTCCTTCTCCCTTGCCTTCTCTTCAGCCTCTTCTCCACCCAACAGCCGGAGCTGACCTTTTTAAAACACTGAGACAAGTCATGTCCCACCTCTGCTCAAGACCCCCCACAGATCCACCATCTAACTCAGAAATTAAAAGTCAAAGATCTGTCATTGCCTACAAAGCCTCCCACTCTGCCTGCTTCCTCATTCCTTCCAGTCACCGGGCCTCTTTGCTTCCTGCAGCATGCCAAGTACATGCTCACCTCAGGGCCTTTGCACCTGCTCTGCCCCCTGCCTGGAATATTCCTCCCCCACAGATCCACATGGCTTCCTCCCTCAGCTCCTGCTCAGAGGTCACCTTCTCGTGAGGCTTTCCATGACCCTCCCCTGTTCATTCACCATCTCCCTTCCTGGCTTCATTTTTCTCTGTGGCCTTATTTACATTAGGCATCCTTTTGTTTTGGCCTTGCCCACTGCATATGAGACCCTAGCTCCCTGACCAGGGGTCAAACCTGTGCCCCCAGCAATGGAAGTACAGAACCCCAGTGCACTAGACCTCAGCAGAAGTCCCTGCGTCAGGCATCTTTCATACTGACTTATTTCCTTATTGTTTCTCTCTCTCTCACAGGACTGTAAGCTCCATGGGGACAGTTGTTTTTGTCTGTTTTCCTCACTACTAAATCCCCAGCACTAGAATAGTTCTTAGAACATAGTACTCAGTAAATTTGTTGAATGGATGGACGGATGGACCATATTGTTCTATCTTGTTTCCCTATCTTGCCCACCAAACCCTAAGTTCCTTCAAGACAGGCAGAGTGTTTTTGCTGTTGTATCTATGAAGGTCACATAGGGCTGGGCATATAAAAGCTGAATGAATGAATGAATGAATGAACTCCTTCCAATTGACGGATGAGGACACACGAATGCCAGAATGAGAAAGGGACTTAGTAAGGACATAGTAAGACACTAGTAGCCACCTCTAAACTCCCAAGTCCCAGGTCCCCTCCTGCCATGGCTGTCTATGGCTCCCGAGCCCATCCAGGCTCCCTGGCTGGAGAAGGGGAGAGTGTTGACCAAACTTTTAACCCTGGGTAGCCCCTGAAAAACGCTGGGGTATTTGACTTTAAATGAATTCCTTAATATCACTCTGGGTTTAGGGCTCAGAGTCAGCAGTCCCATTCCCTGAGTTTGAGACCCTGGTCCACTGCTCACTTCCTGAGGCTTCATTTTGTCATCTGTAAAATGGGAACTCAGATAAGAGTAACACCCACCCTACCATGGGGGAACCATGAGGCTTAAACTGAATGAGGCACTGAAAGAGCTTAGAAGGGGCCGTGATGAGTGCTCAAGGACTGTCAGCTGCCTTGAGCAGCAAAGCGCCGAGCTGGAGGAGAAAACATCCAATCCCTTTCAAGTTTCCCTTAGGTGAATTCCAGCTAATTGGAACCCGGACGGATGTGGTTTCGGGTTAGAGTGCCTCATTTAAGTTTCTGGGCACCTGGATGGTTGGTGTGATTTTCCCAGGTGACACTGAGCATATTATCTGGAGAACAAAACTCCTTTCAAGGTCAGAAATGCCTGGAGAGGCACTGGGGCAGCCTGGGAGAGGCAAAATCGCAGGCTGCAGTCCGCTCTGGGCTCCCCAGCTTCCTGGCTGGAATTACACCCCTCGGGATCCTGCCAACCTCAAAGTTGAGGCTGATTTCAGTGTGGGGGGAAAATTTAAAAAAAACCACCCTCCCTCACTTCAAGGCACTGCATCTCATTTGCTGGCTGGCTGCCGTGAGGTTTTTCTAAGCTTGGGAATAAAACGATTGTGCCACCCAACCCCGACCTCCCTTCCCCGGCTTAGCTCAGCCCCCTCTCCCTGCAACACAGCTTCATCTGACCCCCGAGAACCTTCACGACAACCCCGACGGCCCCATTTCCAGAGAGATGAGGTGGCCTCCCAGAGGTCACCCCTGGAGACGTGGTGCTTCGTGTGTTTCTTTCTACTCATCGCCCTGCCCAGTGATGGAACCCAACACTCTCTGCCCCCCGGGAGTTAGAATCTGCTTTTACAGGTGGAGAAACTGAGGCCCAGGGCAACGGGGTAACTTGCTCCAGGTCACACAGCTGGGAAATGCTAGAGGGACCGGCTGGCTCCAAGCCCAGGACTCCGGCCAGGTGCAACGTGCTGGCCAGGCTTAGGGTCCCGAAGTGAAACCCCAGGCTGAAAAGCACCGGCCCTGGAAGGTCCGTGTCGATGTCCTTGGTTGGCTGGGTGCCCCTGGGCTGCCCCAGCCCCTCTGGACCTTGCTTCTGACCACCAGTGACAACTTTGGCTATTAGCAAACCACCTTCCTGCCTTAGCCTCCTCCTCCAACACTCTATTATTATTTTAGTAAGACCAAACTTCAAAGCGACTCGATTTCTCATTAACATGAATTTAAATGTCAAATAGATAACTAATAAATAGAATAAAACCACTACAACAAATACAAGAAAAGTCCAACCTCATCCCCCAAGTCTCACCAGACTCCGTGGCCTCCTCAAGGCTCCCCGTCTTTCAACAGAGGAGAATGACAGATGATTGGGGGGTGTTTAAGACCCTGCAGCTCTTACGGAAACTTTCTCCTTGAAGGGTTGAAGAAGCATTGAAAACTAAATAACTCTTGGCATCCTGTGATTTAGAGACATTTAAGGATGAGTCCAGGTATCACCTGACCTCTGTGGAACCACATAAAACAGCAATATATAAAGCAATGCCATTTAATTAAGCACATGAAAAATACACACAGACTGAACAGTATTGGTTTTGCAAAAATACCTCCAAACAAAAAGATAAACATTAAATAATGGTCAGAGACTGGGAGGAGGTAGCCAGTGAGCAGAATGGTTGCTGGGAACATAGCATCTGTGTGTGATTTTGACAAAGGTCCCCTCTGTGGAGAAGCAGACCTCAGGGACGCTGCAAGGCTTGATAGGCAGAGCGAATGAATGGAGAAAGAAATGAATGAATGAGTGAGACATGAGAGGGGTCTTGCATGGACCAGTGATGTTCACTTCCCAGGAGGACTGGTTGTGTGCCAAAGTCTGTGTAAGCAGTAACATTTATTCTAAAATTTGGATTTTTGACTTCCAGAATGTGTTAGGAAAGAGCTCCACCCCAGTTATGAACACCTCCCAGTGTGTCCCAGGTCAAAGCGAGGCTAATGACCTGGGATCCAAAGAGAGGACCAGATGCCTGGCTGGTGGGGAAAATAGGGACATCCTTTCCAGATCCCATTGTCCTCCTTCCACGAATATTGTCTGTTGACTCCTAGGTCACTGACATGCCCTGATGGTGAGCAGCGTGTGGGCAGCTCTGGGGCTTTCCCTCACCTGCATCTCAGCCGTCAGCCTCGTCTCCCCTGCCTGGTTCCAGACCACCACTTTCTCCTTCGGTGTCCTCACCTACTGCTCCTGGCCTCAGGGTGACAGCTGGAACCAGAGCTGTGGGACCTTCCAGTCCCTGGATGATATTCCTGACTTCGCCTGGAAGGTGAGATAGTGGACTAGTCAATTTATTGCAGCTTCGAGGGGTCCGGAGCAGGGCATTCTCAAACGTGTCAGCGGAAAAAAAAAAAAAAGCCAAGTTCTTCCCACCTCCCTTCCAACCTCTGACTCTGTATGACTCTGTAGGTGTGGGGTGGGGTCTGGCTATGTGAATTTTAGCAAACACCCAGAGTGATTCTGAAGGCAGCTGCTGGCCCATGCAGTGCCTTTATACAGATTAGGAAACAGTGCCCCTTCCTCAGGACACTATACTGCCATCTGCTGGAGAATTACTATAATCAATATGCATTTCTGTGATGACTCCCAAAGGCATCTCCTAGAGTTTTGCAGTGCGCAACCTGTACACACCTACCTGGTCACCCTCTAAGCACTGCTAAATTTGAAAACCACGGCTAAGATGTCAAAAGTCTCTGTTTTGATGCACATTACCAATTCAGCAATCGGGACAATGGGTCAGGACTCCCAGTTCAGCTCCTCAAAGCGAGACTGGGTGTGAGCTTAGTCCAGCCTGACTCTTTGACCCCAGGGATTCTCGCGTCACCTGCACTGGCAGGCAGATTCTTTGCCCCTATGCCACCTGGGAAGCCCACCTAAGGAAGATTACACAGCCTTCAAAACCCATACAAAGGTGCCTCAGCAAAGAGAAGGTAAGGTGGTAAATGCAGATCTTAATTCTATCTCTAAGGCTTAATTACCTGTGTGCCCTGAGGCAAATGACTCCAACTCTTTATAATCTGATTTGTTTATATGTAAAACAAAGTACATCTTGTATACAGACTACATCATTCGAAATGCCAAGGCTGGATCAATGAAAACCTGGAATCAAGATTTCCAGGAGAAATAGCAACAACCTCAGATATGCAGATGATACCACTCTAATGGCAGAAAGTGAAAAGGAGCTAAAGAGCCTCTTGATGAAGGTGAAAAAGGAGAGTGAAAAAGCTGGCTTAAAACAACATGGGAAAAACTAAGATCATGGCATCCAGTCCCATCACTTTATGGCAAATAGAAGGGGAAAAAGTGGAAGCAGTGACAGGCTTATTTTCTTGGGCTCCAAAATCACTGTGGACTGTGACTGCAGCCATGAAATTAAAAGACACTTGCTCCTTGGAAGGAAAGCTACGACAAACATAAACAGCATATTAAAAAGCAGAGACATCACTGTGCTGCCAAAGGTCCATAGAGTCAAAGCTATGGTTTTTCTAGTAGTCATGTGCGGATTTGAGAGTTGGACCATAACAAAGGCTGAGCGCTGAAGAGTTGGTGCTTTTGAGCTGTGGTGCTGGAGACGACTCTTGCGAGTCCCTTAGACAGCAAAGAGATCAAACCAGCCAATCCTAAAGGAAGTCAACCCTGAATATTCTTTGGAAGGACTGGTGCTGAAGCTGCAGCTGCAATACTTTGGCCACCTGATGCGAAGAACTGACTCATTGGAAAAGACCCTGATGCTGGGAAAGACTGAGGGCAGGAGGAGAAGCAGATGACAGAGGATGAGATGGTTGGATGGTATCACTGACTCAATGGACATGAGTTTGAGCAAACTCAGTGAGATAATGAAGGATAGGGAAGCCTGGCGTGCTACAGTCCATAGGGTTGCAAAGAGTCAGACATGACTTAGTGACTGAACAATAACAACAAAATGGGGATAATAATAGCACAGACCTTGTGGGGTTTTGAGGACTCAGCAGCTGATCAGTTAAGCAGAGGGAGTGCATGACTGCCCCAGCCCAGTCGACACTGTCCCTCCTCTGTCTTCCTGGCAGGTTTCAGCTGCAATGCTCCTTGGAGGCTGGCTCCTATTGGCTTTCAATGCAATTCTCCTCCTGTCCTGGGTCCTTGCTCCCAAAGGACTGTGCCCATGGAGGGGCAGTGGTCCAATGCCAGGGGTGCAGGCAGCAGCAGGTAAATGTGATGTCACATATAAGTGTTTCAGACATATTTTTGGAATGAATGGATGAATGAATGAGTGAGCCTGTAAGCAGAGACTTGCCTCCTGGTTGAATCTCAGAGATAAACCCTATGACTGCAGACTATTCCTGATCCTTTAAAAAGCCAGAAATTGGGGGTAGGGAATGGTATCCTTAACATCACCCTCTCTTGCCCTTATCCAAACCCAGTCCTAATAGTTGTCCTCCTTTTTTTCTCTCCTGTGCATCCACTTTGCATCATTTTTACCGGGACCAGCATATGCAGTTGGGCAGGTTGTGCACCGCACAAGGGCATCCGGCTGAGGATGGGAGGGCTGAGAGCTGTGTTTGCCCAGAAGAACCGTTGTTGTTACTGTTGTTTAGTAGCTAAGTGGTGTCCAACGCTTCTGTGACCCCATGGGCTGTACTCCGCCAGGTGCCTCTGTCCATGGAATTCTCCAGGCAAGAATACTAGAGTAGGTTGCCATTTTCTTCTACATGGGACCTTCCCAATCCAGGGATCAAACCCGCATCTCCTGCTTGGCAGGTAAATCATTTATCACTGAGCCACCTCGAAAGCCCCCAAGCCCAGAAGGTTGCTTTTCTCTAATTCACACATCGGCTTTGGATGATCTAGCTCAGGTCTTGGTGGTAAGCCTCATCCAATTAATTCTCCACCATCTCCCACCTGGATTAGAGGTGACCACCTCACGCATCTCTCTGCTGCCACCCTTGTCCCCTAGAGCCTGTTTGCCACACCTTGGCCAAGTGAGACCTGTTAAAACTGAAATCGGATCAAGCCACCGCATCAATGACTTCCTGTTACTGATGAGGCTCCACCAAGGCGGCCCTCATTCCTTTACTGACCTCATCTCTTAACTGGCTTTGCCAGGCTCAGCACACACCGGCCACACTGGCTTGCTTTCTGTTGCTCATAAACACCAAGCTTGTTCCCTCTGCCTGGAATATTCTCTTCTCAGATCTTCACAGCTTGCTCCTCCCACTTTATTAAGGGCACTGCTCAAACCTCTCTCTCAGTGGGGGTCTCCCATGACCTCAAGGTAAGGGAGCTCCCCTCTGCTTAGAGTCTCCTTCCTCTTGCCTTGCTTTCTATTTTTCATAGCCTGAAATATCACGTCTGCCTACCTGATTATTGTGCATCTCTCTCCACAAGAACATCAGCTCTGTGAGGTCAAGGACACGTCTGCCTTGACATCACCAGCATCTGATACAGTGCTCCACACATAGAGGCACTCACTAGATATTTGTCGAATCAATGAATGGAGACACAGTCCTTGTCGTTGGCTTGCACAGTGTCTAGTAGGGGTGGCAGTTATAACTCGGTGGATATTTGGCACAATAGGATGAGCACAGAAGGTAAGGGAAAACTCCAAGAGGTACCTGCCTCAGTGTTTGGAGGGGGTGTTAAGGAAGGCTTCCTGGAGGAGGCATCACTGAGATGAATCTGGAAGGATGAGTGGGAAGTTAACCAATGTGAAGGGGCGTTTCAGGTAATGGGAACCTCAGGGGCAAAGGCATAGAGAGACAAGAGAGAAAGGCACAGTCAAGGAACTCCAAATGGACAAGTGTGGCTGAAGGGGGGCTGGAGGTCACGTGACTCTCCTGCGCCGGGACTGCCTCCAAAGTGAGGAAGTGTCTGGTTCATTTGCTTAGTATCACTAGTGCCTTCCACAGAGCCCCTAACAGTTTTGAGGAATGAATACATGGACGGATGGGTGGGTTGGTGGATATGTGGAGTGGTGTGTATAAGTAGGTAGATGAGCTGATAGATGGATGGATCAGTAGATATATTACTGAATAGATGGATGAATGGCTAGATGGATGGGGGAAATGGGTGGAGGAATGGAAGGATGGGGGGACTGGTGGGGGGCAGGTGGCTAAGTGGGTGGTTGGACAGATGGATGGATGAGTGAATGGATAGGTAGACAGAGGGATGGAGAGCATGAGTGGACTAGAATACGGTTGAAAGGATGGGTATGTAGGTGGACAGATGGGTGGAAGGCTACTTGAGTGATAGGTGGATACAAAGATAGATGAGCCAGTGAATAAGTGAATGTATGATGGATGATGAGTGAGTGGATGGGAGGACTGGGATGGAAGGTCAGCCCAGAGCCCCATGACCAACACACCGGTTTTCCTTCCTGCTCTCTCTAGCCATCGCCACCATCATGGGCCTGCTGGTTTTCCCCATCGGCTTGGCCTCGCCATTTGCCAAGGAAGCCTGCATAGCCTCCTCCATGTACCATGGCGGTCAGTGCCAGCTAGGCTGGGGCTACGTGACCGCCATCTTCAACGCAGGCCTGGCCAGCCTCCTGCCCATGATGAGGCGGCCCCATGTGACCGAGGTCCAGCGGAGGACCATCTTCTTCTCCAGTGATACTGAGAGCATCATCCTTGTGCCAGAAACGACCAAATAAAAACATCTGAGGAGGAGCAAAAAGAGCCCACGCTAGAGTTGTATGAAATCGCCACACACCCAGGTTCAAATCCCACTTCTGCTGCTTGCTTGCTGTGTGGCCTCAGACAAATCGCTTCATCTCTCTGGACCTCAGTGTATAACTTCTGTAAAATGGGGCGGGGGGTGGGTGTTGAAATAATGCCTAGCTTGGAGGGCTGTTATGAGAATTGACTTAAGATGCTGTGTATAGATAAAGCCCTTAGCATATGTTAGGCAAACTTTAGGCATTGTTATTGTAATCCTGACCTCACAGGAGGACTGTGGTGAGCATAAACCTATTCATGACAAGTGTCGGGGCAATTCTGGATCCATGGTCGTCACTCAGATACTACACCTTTTAATGGGTACGTGCATATTCTCTCTCTCTCTTCCCTCCCTTTCTACAACTCCTCCTCTTGGTGAATCTGGAAAGTATTCATTTTCCCATCAATGAGAACGTCCCCTTATAAATGAGAGCTGGTCCAGTGTTGGGGTGGGGATTCGGCAGGGAGTGGGGTCAGGCGTTAAGGACCTGTCTCACCCTTCATGCAAAGAATCCCGTTGATATGAAAACCTCACCGTTACTTGGCGCACACGAGGCCCCTTGAGATGCAGTCCCGACCTCTCTCTTCAGCTTCTTTCTTGTCACCCACCAGACCCTGCCCCTCTCCCTCCGGCCATGCTGACTTCTGAGCCCACAGTGGGTCTCCTCACAGCTCCACACTGCTCTCTCTGCCATGGGGTGCTGGAGTCAGCCTGTCACCTTTGCTGATCATGACCCAGTGCCCTGCTTTGGGAGCAGCACCTTAATCCTCCCTTCAGACGTGCCCCTCAGCCACTTTCTGACTGCTCCAGGCTTTAAGATGGACAAAAGAGACCTTTTAGCCAATCAGGAATGGTCGGAATGACTGGTTCAGAGATGGGCCTGGGACCTGTATAAACCAGCATGGAGGAGAGCGGAGCCACGAGGTGGACACAGATGGAGCTCTAAGGATTTCACTCGACTACCTGGATCCAGTCACGCCTGCTTCTCTACCCCCAGGACACATGGTGACAGGCAACTCCAGGCTGGCATCCCTCTAGCTTGTGGCTGCAGTGGAAGAAAGCGTGAACCACTCTCCTCCCAAAGAAGGAAGCTGATTGGCCAGGACTGGGTCATGTGTCCCCCTGGGGAGAGGGGGGTGTCAGCAATCTAGACTAGAAGGCCACAGTTATAATGTACGTGATACAGTTTCTCAGAAGATGGGAGAAATTGCTAGTCCTGGAATGGGGCAAGGAGGCTGAGCAAGCAAAAACATTCAGTGCCCAACTCCTCTCCTTAAAGGAAACTTTGTTATCCTCATTTCACAGAAGTGAAGACTGTAGCTCCGAGAGACAGAGTCACTCGCCCAAAGTCACACAGCTGACTGGTGGCAGAGCTGGGATTTGGATCCAGGGCTGCCTGACTCTGTGATAGAGACAGAATGACATCTCTGCCCTGACCCAGCTCATCAAACTCTTTTGGCTTTAAACATTCAACTAAGACCATCTGTAAACAACAGCACTATATTATTACAGCAATTCTACAATTTTGAAAAACACATCGGCCACTGAGAATGCAGCCTGCATTCATCTCTCAGAAAATAAGGACTATAATTACTTTTAAAAAGTCACAAAATAATGGATTAAGGTAATAGAAAACCTAGGAAGCCGCCCCATGGTGTGCAGATGGACTCGAAGACCCCTGGTATGTTTCAAGTGTCCTCAGAAGCACGCTGATGGGAGTCAGGCTTGTGTGGGAAGATTTCAGGAGCCCTAAGCAGCATCCCCAGTGCAAAAAGCAGCAAGCAGATAGATGCCAACAAGAAGAAGCCCAAACTCAGCCTCAGGTCACCCACCTGTACTTGAAATGAGCCGCCTCCTCTGTGTAATAACCTTACAACGGTCCCCTGCCCCCCAAGTTCCTCAATCATCTCTCTTGACCATGCAGTGTGGCTAGGAGGATCTTAGTTCCCTGACCAGGGATTTAACCTGGGCCCTTGGGCAGTGTGGCGTCCTAATCACTGGACTGCCAGGGAAGTCCCCTTTCATTTTCTCTCTCAGCAATTTCAGCAGTGCCAAAGGGAGCGATTCTTCAGCGTATGAAGCAGAAGCATTTCCACAGACACCATCCTTATTTGACAAGAGACAGAGGGATCTGTCTCATTTTTCTCTGCATCATAGTAAGAGGCTCTCTTTGTTTGGAGGAGCCCTACCCCTACCGAGGCTGGAAACCACTGTGCTCCACAAATCTGAATAAAGAATGCGAGGAAGGTACCAGAGGAGTCCTGCCTGACGCCCTGATGTAATAGAAAGTCCCCAGGGTGCTGCAGGGTTCAGAGGGTCATCTCAATTCTGCTAGGCTGACAACGAGGATCTGATTGTGCTCCCTCTAGAATCTACACCTGTCCTGGGCTCAAGCTCTCAATGGGTCCAGCAGCTTCAAAGCCACCAGCACAGAGCCCCGAGAGCCCTTCCCTGAGTCAGCAGAACCCAGTGCAATTTGCAGAGTTGGCGTGGGTTTTGCTCCTGCCAAGAACTGATGGCCTCACCATCCCCACCTCCAGGGGCCCTGTCACAGCCTGAGAGGGTGCAGAGTTCATCCCTTCCCCAGTTCTCCAGGAGCTGTATCCTCTCAGGTTTCAAAGTCTCACCTGAGAACCCGAGCAAGAGATGATGGGAACTCAGGGAAACTGAGGTCTCAACCAGGAAACCGTTCCCAGCAATGCTAGGGCCAGAGGGTCCCGGTGAAAGGGGAGGGCCAGGACTGAATCCACAGCCAAAAAAGTCAAAGTGTTAGTCGCCCAGTCGTGTCCAACTCTGTGCAACCCCACAGACTATAGTCCACCAGGCTCCTCTGTCCATGGAATTTTCTGGGCAAGAACACTAAAGTGGGTAGCTGTTCTCTTCTCCAGGGGATCGTCCCAACCCAGGGATCAAACCCGGGTCTCCCGCATGGCAGACGGATTCTTTATCATCTGAGCCACCAGGGAATCCACACCCATTACTACCTCCGGTTTGCAGAAATGAAAACCAAGGCTCAGAGAGGGAAAGTCACTTGCCCAAAATCACATAGCCAGGAGCCGGCAGACTTGGGATCCTAAGTCATCACTCCCCAAACATGTGGACAAAGATACAGAATGTAATTTTAGTTGGTGCAGTGAGAAGGCCATTCCCACGTCAATCCTCCTTGAAGTCCTCCAAGAAGAAAAGCTCGTCTGGTGCCAGTATGTCTTTAACTTCTCAGACTCTCATTACATCTCTTCTTAATAGTGAGCGAGTAGGCTTCAGGAAAGCCTTCAGTGGGAAACAGTACTTTGGTAAAATAGTAGTATTCATTTTTACAACCATCTCCTGTTTATGCAAATGATCCTGGCTTGCTCTTAGCTTGAAGTTTAAAAAGTGAGTTGATTTATGGGATCTCCCTGGTGGTCCAGTGGCTAGGACTCCATGCTCCCAATGCAGGGAATCCAGGTTCGATCCCTGGTCAGGGAACTAGATCCTACGTGCCGCAACTAAAGATCCCACGTGCCGCAACTAAGACCCAGCACGGCCAAATAAATAAATAATTTTTTTTAAAGGTGAGTTGATTTAAAGAAAACTAGTAAAGATATAATAGCACATATATATGGTCCAGATCATAAAGGGGGATGGCAGGTGACTTGAGTTTGGGAGATGGTGTCATAAAACTTGGGGAGAAGACTCATTGATTGATGGATCTAATGTCTCTCAAACTTGACTATCTGTTTGAAAAAAGAGAAGAGATCTAAACTAGTTCCTCCCACTGCCCTTAGCTGTACCCTCACTTCCCTTCCCTGTCAAGCTGCTGGAACCTCAGGCCTGGGAGAGGAGGAGGAAGATGAAACAGGATGGCACACATGGGCACCGGCCCTTCCGAAATGGGATGGTCAGGACCTCCTCAACTCTTTGCGTAAGTGCTTCTAACTGTCCCCATGGACTCTCCCAGACGCCAAATGGAAAGCTTGAGGTGAAAAGAAAAGGGAGTGTGGTTTAGAAGGGAAACGGTGGAGTAGCCAGAGGGGCTAAACCCCACATGTTGTCCTAGATGGGACAGCATCATTCAGGTGAAGGCATGGTGATAGACAGTATCCACATGCTCGAGGCTACAAGGAAAGCAGGCAGAAGGAGAGGAGAGGAACCAGAGGTGTGGGGGAAGGAGAAGATAAAGACGTGGAGGAAAAGATGGAGGAGGCAGAGGAGGAAGAAGAAAAGGGTGGGAGCGGGACCTCACAGCGACACCTGTGTGCGCCATGCACATGGCAATGAAGACCCCTTGTCCCACCCCGAGGTGAGTCAAGGAAACGTGCCTAGTGGCCCAAGACTCATCTTCTCACATCTATGCAAGCTGTAAATGCCGTGCTTAGGAAAGCTTTTACTAAAACAAAATATTTTCTTAGAATTTTTTTCCCCTAAAGTATATCATCCATTACCATAAGTCAATAGTGCATGGAGGGACTTCCCTAGTAGTCCAGTGGCTAAGATTCTGAGCTCCCCATGCAGAGGGCTCAGGTTCAATCCCTAGTTGGGGAACCAGACCCCATATGCTGCAACTAAGAGTTCCCCGTGCCGCAACTAAAAAAAGATCCAGCACCACAACTGAAGATCCCATGTGCTGCAACTGAGACCCGGCACAGCCAAAGACATGAATAAATAAATAAATATTGAAAAAAGAATCATCACAAGCTAAATAAATGGCTGTCTGAAGCCACTAAGATTTGGGGTGGTTTGTTACACAGCATTGCTTGTGGTAACAACTAACTGATACAAAGGATGAGACCAGTTTCACCAGCCTTGCACTTTCTGGGGACCGATCAGGCAGCGAGCATGAGAATCTGTCCCTCTCTGGGTCTGGGTCAACGGGGGTGGGCTGGGAGGACTGGGGTATGAGGACACACTCTTCAGAAGCAAACATTTCTTTCTTTCAAATCAAAGAGAAAATCCACAAACACAGAAGCAAGAAATAACCCAGGTTCACACAATTCTGTTTATATATATTTTCTCTCTATATAGACACGACTCTTCAGTAAACAGTAACCAGATATGTTGGCAACACTGAGAAAAAGAGAGCACTCCATAGATAAAACGACTCCCACGCATTTGATTCGGGGACACAAGGACGCACACACAACGTACAGAGACCCAAATAAACACAGAAAGCCAAATAAATAAGCACTGTTTCAAATCACAACCACGACACTCTCTGGAACACCACGAGAGAAGGCAGAGAAGAGATCTTGTGCTGTACTTTCAGACCAGTCTGTCAAAAAATAAATAAGAATCGGAAGGTCTAGGACCTAAGTCTTGCTAAAATAACATCCTCTGTAGTGAAGAGTTGAATGGCAAAATAAAACTCTTATCTAGAGGGAAATTTCATACATGATCACCCGTCTCGGGAAGGCAGAGGGCCAAGGCAAGGAGATGAAACTTGCACAGAGCGTTCTTCGGAAACGAGGTCCATTTCTCATCCATCCCACCCAGGATACCCCACTTGGGCAGAAGTTCAGATGCAGCCGAAAGTGCTGGGTGCAAGGGAAGCGCCTTCACAGGCAGGCCAGGCAGGGACTGCTCCCCTCCTGCTTTCCTCAGGACCAGAGGACTGATGCGCTCCCTCTGTCAAGGTCTCAATGTGCTTGGTGAGTCTCCTCTCCTCTCCAAAATCCTACCTGCCATTCTTGGGAAGAGCATCGTTCTTGGACTCTCTCTGTTTTTCCTGACGCTGGTGCATTCTCCAAAACAGAGAAGGGCTGGCGCGACTGCTCTCCTGGGAGGACATGTAGGCAGGGTAAACTAGCTCGCCTAGGGTCTCTTTGGGGGGCTGGTGACCCTTTGTGTGAAGACATGGAGGGGACCATTTCCAGGCTGGGCTGTGACCTGGATGCCAGTTCATCAGCTGATTTTTTTTTTTTTTTTCCCAAGGAGAACACCCGCCACACCCTACCCTGGCCAACCTCTGTCCTCCTCTCTTCCCTTTGTCCTGAGTAAGCAAGGGCACTTAAGGAAATGCCAGCCTCCTTGAATAAGTGGCTTGCACCAACACACACCTTCCAAGCTTCTGGAACTCCGGACCCAATGTAGGAAGGAGAGGCGAGGTCCTCCCTAGGATGAGAGGAAGGGGATGTGGACTCTGCCCTGCCCGGAGCAGGGGCTCTGAGCAGGACCATGAAGAGGCCTGTCTCAAGCTTACAGACCCTTCTCACAGCCTTTTGTTGAAAGAAGAAAAAAGTCTCTCCCGAGGCCAGGGGGAGGAGGAAAAGATGAGAAAATACAACTGAAATCCCTGACCCCAGGAGACATGTGCAGAGGACCCCATGTGCCTTTTCTAAATGGGAGGGAGTCTCAGGACACAGTTGGCTCAGGTACAAAGAAAGTGGGGAGGGAGAAACACTTGTAGTCCCTCCTGCAAGTCAGCGGTTCTCAAAGCGGGGGCTACCTGGCAACGTCCGGAGAAGTTCTGGATGTCATAAGGCCCCGGGAGGGGCGGGCGGCGGCAGGGGACGGAGGGAGCTACTGGCATCTAGCAGGGACAGGCCAGAGATGCTGCTCAAGCCCCGACAGTGCACAGGGAGGCGTCCTTCATAGAAGAATTCCGTGTCACCATGCTCTGCTCCCAGCCACGTTCTGGAACATCTCCAAAGGCCCCTTCAGAGCTCAGAGGCAGCCCCACCGAAAAGTTCCCAACCCAAGTCTCATCCGACAAGACAGCTTGGAGGGATGGGAGGGAAAGGGGAGAAGACCATTCTGGAGATCACGAACGAAGATGGTCCCTCTGCCCACCAACAACCCCCAACTCCCGCAAGGGAGAAATCCCAGGCTTGGGCGATCTTTGGTCAAACAGGAAAACATAAGGCTGAACTGAAGGGACGACCCCTCCACCCCACCTGCCCAGCGGCCAAAGCTGGGGTGTTTTCTCTTTGCACAGAAGTCCATGCTCGGGAACAGACGTCAGGACCTCGCTCCCCGGGCGGCTGGGAGGAGAAGCAGGCAGGACAGGCGGGCGGGCGGGCGCCGACACGGCCCTCACTTGTTCTCAATCAGCGTCTGCACCTTGTACACGAGGTCCCGGGCCAGCTTCAGGACCTGTCTCGTGTTGTGTCGCTCGGCCATCTCTGAAAGAGCGGAAGGCAGAATCACATGAGCCTTCGCTTTGTCTGTCCTTGGGCCACACTTCCAGCAGAGACTCTGAGAGGTCTCTGGAGTACCCCCATCCCCATCATCAACTGGCATCACCCCCAGAGTGGCTCTGGAAGCACATACTTTGGGGACGGCCTGTGACTCCAGACCTCAGTTTCCTCATCTGTGAAATGGGAACCGTGACAGTACCTGCTTCACAGGTTACTGTGAGATCAAACAGGATAAAGTGTGTTTGTTTAAAAAAATGTGTGTCTGTTTAAAAAATGTTAGGTTTTCTCACCATCCTCCTACAGACACAATGACTGGGCCCCTTTTAAGAAAGCAATATTGGGCACAAGGTGGATGCTTAAAAGCAGAGAGGAAAGGAAATGGGAGGAGATGGGAGGGTGGAGGGGAGAAAGCACAAATAGCCATTTTGTCAAGAATAACACACAATGATCAGCTCTTTGAAAAATAATAATCCTAAATTTAGACACTTGTCATAAAGAAATCATTTGGCAGAAGAGAAAGACACTAAGACCATGGTTCCCAAATTGGGTGCGATCCTCCACATCTGTTGAACACCACATAAACTGCTAATGTGAGTGAGTGAGTTTGCAATTTGCGTTCCTATCAATGGCTTTATAGCTTTGCAAAAAACCTAAGTTTTCAGCAAGCAGTTGCCATGATAAAAGCAAGTATCATGTGAAAATCATTATGGAAAGTGTAGTGTAGGTGGTGAGTTCAAACTGATTCCAAGATCTGAGAAGTTGGGCAAAGTCCAACAGGTGAGCACACCCATTAGAAACTACTTATTTAAATATAAAATATATTATTTTCTTTTGACTTAACATGTGCTATTTTTTCAAATGGCTAATAACTTGTTAGGATAGATATACTTATTAGGTGGTTTGGACTTAATTATTCAATAGTTACTAGATGGTCTGGGATGCCACAAAAATTTCACAGAGACACTAGAGGTGCTATGAACTAAGAAAAGCTTGAGAACCTCCACGCTAAGATATGAATTGCTTTGAGTTCTCAATTACAACCTCAAACCAAAACCAACACAGATGTTAAACCAGAAAGGATGGTTCAGTAAGTGATGAACAGGTACTTGAGGTATATTCTGTTTTCTCAAAAAATCATTATATGGAAAATGGTTTTAAAAACATCAGTGGAATAAAGCCTAGATACAACTGGATTCTGTGATTGCTGTTGTTTAGTCGCTAAGTCACGTCCGACTCTTTGCGACCCCATGGACTGTAGCCCACCAGGCTTCTCTGTCCATGGGATTTCTGAGGCAAAAACACTGGAGTGGGTTGCCATTTCCTTCTCGAGGGGATCTTCCCAACCCAGGGATCGTCTCTGGGTATCTCCTGCATTGGCAGGCGAATTCTCTATGGCTTAGCCACCATATACATAATTTTGGAAAAGACTGGATAAAAAAAATGAATATTTTTAAATGAACCTATTAAGTGCAACATGGTTTTCTGGATTGGATCCTAGAGCACAAAAAGGACGTTAGTTAAAAACCAAGTGAAATCAAGTAAGTCCGTAGTTTAGTTGATAGTACTATATCAGTGTTAATTTCTTTGTTGTGACACATGTACGAGGATCAGGTAACATATTAACATTAGGGGCTGCGGCGTTAAAAGGTATAGGAAACTCTCTGTACTATCTTTGAAATTTTTTTCTAATAATGTTAATTATTACTATTTATTATTATTATATATTATTTAAATATAAAATATATTAATAACAATAACTAATAATGTTTCCAGTGTAAGGTCATCACTGGTGGCTTTATTCTTTTTTTGCTTTATCCAAAACCTTCTTTAGTTTAAGAAAATGTTTTAATAGTGATAATAGCAACAGCTTCTATTCAAAGCAACAGCTGTGAGCCAAGTACCATGTGACTGATGGGCCTGACATCCCTGTGGTCTCATTTAATCCTCCTGACATCTCTGTGATGGAGGTGTCAGTACCATTTTATTCCCAAGGAATCTGAAGCCCAGAGATGTGAAGTCACTTGCCCAAGGTCACACAGCTCCTGGGTGGCAAGACTGTGCCTTTTTCATGCCACCTTCCTGTATCTGCTTTCCCTCCACACATCAACCCTCTGAAGCAGACACCTTCCCTCCTGTTCCCAGGTGAGGAAGCAGATGTTTAGAGAGAGGGGAAGTGACGTGTCTATGGTACAACTCATTCCCAGCAGAGCCAAGTTTGGCCCCTGAGCCTGATTTTAACACCCAGGCCCCGTTGGCCAGATCCCTGAGAGAAACACACGTGGATCACTCAGGATTACGAGACGTCAACTCATCCACTGGGAAATAGCCACAGGAGGTGGTCAGAAGCCTCCTCCGTCCTCTTCATCTTGAATCAATCTCAGGGACTCTCCATCCATCCCTCTCCAGGACCCAGGAAGGGGCCCTCCAGAAGTCTGCCCACTACGGATGAGACCCTGATCACGTGGGTACCGTTAAAAAATTTGATGATGTCTGTGAAATCCATGTTGTTCTCCAAGATGATGTCACGGTAGACCTCCACCAGCGCCAGCGCGATGAACAGGACGTAGTGGGCGGACGAGACGTGTTTGGCTGCCCAGATGGTCTCCCAGACGGAGAAGACGTCATCATAGATGAGTTCTGCCAAGACACCAACACACACACACGCATGGGGAGAGTCCCCCACGGAGCTCACAGTGCTGCCCGCCCTCAGGGAGGATCCCAGACCGGCTGTGCTCTGAGCTTCTGTCCTGGGGCGGCAGACAGAGCTCAGGCCAGGGCAGGAGACCTGGCCGCTGCCATCTGACAGCAGCCTCAGCTTCCCCTTTCTGTGGAAGAGGCTGGGCACACTAGGTGGGCCGCACGTTTCCAGCTCCGACATCCTGTGAGTGGAGGAACTGGGCAGGGGCAGCTTTGGTTTTCCTTGACCTGCCCCTGCCCTGACCCCGGGCCAGGGTCCTGCTCTCTGCCTGCACCGCCCCGCTCCTCTAGCACCCATGGGGTACCTCCCCTTCCCCGTGCACCCAGGCAGAGTCGGCTGCTGCTTCTGGGTCTAGTAAAGAGAGACAGCAGAGTAAGGATGGAGAGTAAGGCTTCCTGTGTCCAACAAAAGTCAGTCTGAATCCCGGCTCCATCACTTATGAGCAAGGTGACCTTGGGATAATTACTTCCCCTCCATGAGCCCTTTCTTTTCTGTATCTGTTAGTGTGGTGATGTTGGTGGAGGAGGTTGCCATCTCTTTCTCCAGGGGAATCTTCCTGACCCAGGAATCAAACCCGAGTCTCCAGCATTGGTAGGCAGATTCTTTACCACTGAGTCACCAGGGAACTTCACATGATGTGATACCAATAGTAATAAAGGACTGAAGAGACTTCTCTGATGGTTCAGTGGTTAGGAATCTGCTTTGCGATGCAGGGGACTCAGGTTCAATCCCTGCTTGGGGAACTAAGATCCCACAATCCCATGCACTGCAATGAAGAGCCTGTGTGAGGCAACAAAAGATCCCATGTGTCACAACTAAGACAACACAGTCATATAAACAGATACATAAATAAATATTTTTTAAAAATAAAGGGCTGCAGGAAATAATACATAGAAATGGCTCAGCACAGTGCCTGGCCCTTAATAAACACCTTTATACAGGTTAGGGGATTCCCAGGTGGCTCAGTGATAAAGAATCAGCCTGCCAATGCAGGAGACTCAGGAGACCCGGGTTGGATCCCTGGGTCAGGAAGATCCCCTAGAGGAGGAAATGGTAACCCATTCTAATATTCTTGCTGGGTGAATCCCATGGACAGAGGAGCCTGGCAGGCTATAGTCCATGGGGTCGCAGAGTTGGACATGACTGAGCAATTGAGCACACACGTATGCATACAGGCTAGATATTATTATCAGCATCATCCCAAATTGGCAAGATAGCAATGCACTGTGTCAGACATCATTCCTCAGTCACGTGGGAAAGAGACTCCATGGGCTTCAGAGTTCTTGGCCTCTGATAAGCCACTTAACAGAATGGTAGGGAACTGGGCTTGGGTAGACAGACGGGGGCTCAGATCCTGGCTCTGTTATTGCTAGGTCTGAATTTAGTTCTTCTCAGCCTTAGTCTCCTCATCTGTAAAATGGGGATTGTGAGAACACCTACTACACAGTGTCTCTGCAAGATACGGTAGGAAAACTGTAGTCAGACTCAACAAGTGGGTGTTACTCTAGTCCAGTGGCTTTGTCCCAACATGTCCCAGCCTCACTGCCGTGGTATCTTTTCCCCCTGGGACTCTGCTGCAAAGAGTCTGGGAACAAGGTCCCAGTTGCAGGTGTGTACCTCGCTTGAAATCCAGCAGGAACCAGCGGTAGCAGAAGTAGAAATGAGTGTAGTCCCCATTCTGATGCATCAACTCGAAGAGCTCTGAGTCCAGGATCTGTCAGAGGAAGGAAAGAAAGGCATCAGCCTCCTCGGCAAAGGCTGGGCCAGAGGGGACGGTCAAACAAATGATGCTACATCCCCATACCAGACACTACACAGCCCTTAACAACCGGGTGGAGCTTAAAAATGGCTAAAGAATTTGAAGTGGAAATCAATCTGACGCAACCTAACCCAGTCTTTCGCTAAAGAAGATACGCAAATAACCAATATGCACAGGAACCATGCTTACCATCATTAGTAATTAGGAAAATGCAAGTCAAAATCATAATGAGCTACTATTTCATATCCACTAGGGTGGCTATAATAAAAATGACAGACAACAAAGGGCTGGGAGGATGTAGAGAAAATGGAACCCTCGTGTGTTGCTGGTGGGAATTAGAATGGTACAGCTGTAGTTTTACTCGTAGGTATATCCCCAACAAAAATGAAAACCTACGAACATATAGAAACTTACACATGAATGTACACCACAGCATTATTCATAATAGCCAAAAAAGTGTAAACAACCCAAGTATCCATCATAGGATGAATGGGTATACAAAATGTAGTCTATATATGCAATGGAATATTCAGCAATAGAAGGAATGACATCGATACATGCTGCAACATGGACGGACCTTGTAAACATTATGCTACATGAAAAAAGCCAGACACAAAAAGCCACATGTTGTGTGACTCCATTTACGTGAAATGTCCAGAACAGGTAAATCTATACAGAGACAGAAAGTAAACTAGTGGCTGCCAGGAGCAGTGGAGAGGGATTGCTGTTAATGGTGGTGGTGTTTGCTGTCGTTTAGTTGCTAAGCCACGTCCAACTCTTTGGTGACACGATGGACTGCAGCCCGCCAGGCTTCTCAGTCTATGGGACTTCCCAGGCAAGGATACTGGAAAGTGAAAGTCGCTCAGTCATGTCCGACTCTTTGCAACCCCATGGACTATACAGTTCATGGGATTCTCCCGGCAAGAATACTGGAGTGGGTAGCCGTTCCCTTCTCCAGGGGATCATTCCAACCCAGGGATGGAACCCAGGTCTCCCGCATTGCAGGCGGATTCTTTACCAGCTGATTTCCTTCTGCAGGGGATCTTCCCGACCCAGGGATCAAACCTGCATCTCCCGTGTTGGTAGGTGGATTCTCTACCACTGAGCCACCAGGGAAGCTCAGGGGATAGAGATTCTTTCTCAAGGTGATGTGAGTGTTCTGAAATTAGATAGTGATGATGATTTCATACCTGTGACTATTCTAAGAACCAATGAATCAAACATTTCAAAAAGGCAAATTTTACAATATATGAATTTATCTCAATAAAGCTCTGTGTGTGTGTGTGTGTGTGTGTGTGTGTGTGTGACAGAAAGAGAGAGAGAGAAATATACTCAAATATTTCTTTGCAGTCCGGAGGAGGAAATGGCAACCCACTCCAGTGTTCTTGCCTGGGAACCCCATGGACAGAGGAGCCTGGTGGGCTGCAGTCCGTGGGGTCGCAAAGAGTCGGACACGACTTAGCGACAAAACCACCACCGCCACCACCTTTCTCTGCAGAAAAGGATCAGTACAATCAAATGTCCTGTTAAGGCAAGTACCATGTCTTGTTCATCACTGTAGCCACAGTGCCTGGGCCAAGTAAATGCTCAGTAAGAATGAATCCAGTGGAGTCGACTTGAGCTGTTGAGTGAAGGTTAATTTGAATTCAGTTTTTCAGGTTAACTTAACTGGGCTGAGTGAAGTAGGACTGAGTTACTGAGTTAATTTAAACTAGGTGTGGCTATTAAGTTGGTTTGTGGTCCATTGGTTTGAGCTGGAATAAGTTATATTACTGAGAAGCACAAGGTCATACCTGGATTAGCGACCTCATGTTGGCAAAGTGTGTGTCCATGGCGCCCCCGTGGGGGAAGTTCTGGTTCATCCTCTTCATGAGCTCGGTGAAGCAGCTGAAGGCAAGGGCCTCTGGGGAAAGAGTACAGGAGAAAGAGTCAACTCTGCCGCTGCCCAAGGTCCCAGAGTGATGGTCCGAGGGTCCATTAGGTCCACCAGCCAAATAAGAAACGTAAGGACATGGAGTATACCCATGCACATCATTTCAAGGGATGCTCTCCAATCTTTCATTATGCACTTCCCCCCTGAGAGGTGTGGAAATAGAGCATCCTTTCTTTTAGGAAACAACAGTGATAGCAAACGTTGTGTTTTAAAGATCCCTATTTGCTCTAATAAAAAGTTGACAATATTTGGTCCCAAATGTCTTGAAAGAAATTCTGTGGGGCTCATGAAACTCTCCTGTCTGAGAACCACTGAATTAAAATAACAAGTGTCAATACTGGAAGGGCGTTTGCAGGTGTTATGCAAAGCAAAGGTCAAGCAACTTTGGGAAATGCTACTTAGAGAGTGACTATATATACTAAGGGAAAAAAAGGCTCTGAGTATTTATGGAATTTAAAAGATATATGTTGGGAATTCCCTGGTGGTTCAGTGGTTAGGATACCACACTTTCACTGCTGAGGGCATGGGTTCAATCCCTGGTCCAGTGGTTAGGCCTCCACACTTGCACTGATGAGGGCATGGGTTCAATCCCTGGTTGGGGAGCTGCTAAGATCCTGCAAGTTGCATGGCACAGCCAAAAAAAAAAAAAAAATTATACACAATTTAAACTTATTTAATATGTGGGTTTCCAAGTGGCCCAAAACAAAAAAAAAAAAAAAAAATCCGTTTCATACTGTTCAACCCAGTGTTTAAAGAATAATTTGAAAACAGTACCTATTTTCTCTTAACTCCAAGTAGCTTTAGAGAAAGTTATAAGAAGGTTACCCAAGTCACCACAGAATCTTGTTCATTTTCTTTATTTTTCAGAACAGTTTAGATTTACAGAAAAATTGAGAAGAGTGTAGAGTTTCCATATACCTCACACCTAGTTCCTCCCATTACTAACATCTCCCGTTAATTTGTACATTTGTTACAATTAATGACCTACTTCAGTTCAGTTCAGTTTAGTCACTCAGTCTGTCCAACTCTTTGTGACCCCATGAACCACAGCACGCCAGGCCTCCCTGTCCATCACCAACTCCCAGAATTCACCCAAACCCATGTCCATTGAGTCGGTGATGCCACCCAACCATCTCATCCCTGTTGTCCCCTTCTCCGCCTGCACTCAATTTTTCCCAGCATCAGGGTCTTTTCCAATGAGTCAGCTCTTTGCATCACGTGGCCAAAGTATTGGAGTTTCAGCTTCAAAATCAGTCCTACCAATGTACACCCAGGACTGATCTCCTTTAGGATGGACTAAAGGACTGTCATCTCTCCTTAGGCTCCTCTTGGCCCTAGCTGTGACTCAGACCTTCCTTGTTGTTGATGACCCTGGTTATGAAGAGTGCATGCCAGGTGTTTTATGGGATGCCTCTCTATTGGAATTTGTCTGATGTTTTTCTCACGATAAGACTGGGGTTATGGGTTATTGTGAGAAAGACCATGTAGGTAAGGTGCCACTTGACTCACATCACATCAAGGGCATACAGTACTGATGTGACTGAGGACGGAGGATGACCATGGCCACCTGACAGGGGCAGTGTTTTCCGGTTTCTCCACTGCATAGCTTCTCTTTCACCTCCCACCCTCTTCTTTAGTGAACTTTCTGGAAAGAAGTCACTATGCTCAGCTCTAAGAGTTGCGACTTATACTTCTCATTTTTAAACAACTTTATTGAGGCTTGCACACCATAAAATTCACTCTTTTAAATGTACTGAGTTGGTCAAAAAGTTTGCTTGGGTTTTTCTGTACAATGTTCTGTACGATGTTACAGAAAAATCCAGGCAAACTTCTTGGTCAACCCAATATAATTCAGTGGTTTTAGTATATTCAGAGTTGAGAACTGTCATCTCATCTAATTTTAGAACATTATCATCACCCCAAAAAGACACTACATATTGGCAGTCATCACCTATTTCCCTCTCCTCACAGTCCCTGTCAACCATGAGTCTATTTTCTGTCTCTACAGATTTGCCCTTTCTGGAAGCACCCTTACCTTGATGGTGCTAACATGCCCAGCTTCTCAAATGTTCCTGAAGCCAGTTTTCGTACCTGACTGGTTTCCTCATTAATACACTGAATAAAATCTTTGTTCATTTTATTTGTATGTGAGAGTCATGTAACCTTTTGAAAATTACATTTTATCAGTTCTGAAGGTCATCCACTGAGCTGTTTAAGGGGATTAATCCAATGGAGACAAATTAAGTCCATTTGCTGCATCTTTTCTTGGTTTCTGAAGTGAATTTTGGGTGGCAACAGAGTTTTAACGTTTTTAACCCTTTAGTTCTTTTTTTCTATTGATATTATGTATTTGTTTTTATTTCTGGTTTATATACCTTCAACAAATTAATCTGAATTGGTGATAGCAATGGTTGGAGATTTGCTCTTATGGCTAACTATCTAGTCGGTTCTGTTGAGTGTATAATGAAAGTTTGTTCTCTGTTGGGTGAGAAATAACAAAGAATCCAATTTCATGGTCTTTTTTTTTCTTGGTTCCCTTTTGGGGAAATCTGTTTGTCTATTTGCAACCTCAGATCAAGTAAGAATCACATGCTCACTGGAAGAAAAAGGAGTCAGTTTTTGTGTTTCTGGCTCACTATATTCAGCAACATTTTAACATTTTTGGTGTACAAATCTTGCACTTCTGTTAAATTTATTCGTAAATACTTTACTCTTCTAGAGGCTACTGCAAATGGAATTGCTTTTCTATTCTCATTTTTAGATTGTTTATTACAATAGCACAGAAATATAATTGAATATATCTAAATATAATATAGAACTGTATAAGTTCTATATCCTGCAACCTTGCTGAATTTGTTTATTAGTTCTAATATTTTTTTGACTCATTAGGATTTTCTGTATGCAAGATCATACCATCTGCAAATACAGATGGTTTATTTCCTTTCCAACCTAGATGTCTTTATTCCTTTTTCTTCAGTAATTGTCCAGGATAGGGCCTTTCGTGGCAGAAGTGGACAGCTTTGTCATACTCTTGACCTTAGGTGAGAAGTATTCAGAATTTCATCACTGACTATTAGTTGTGGGTTTTTCAGGGATGTCTTTTATCACATTGATTAAGTTCTCTTTTGTTCTGAATTTGCTGAATATTTTTTCACGAAAGGCTGTTGAATTTTGTCTGATGACATGATCATGTGACCTCCATCCTTTATTCTGTGAATGTAGTGAATTGCACTGATTGAATTTCATATATTGAGTCAGCCTTGTATTCCTGGGATAGATCCCATTTGATAATGACATATAATCCTTTTTATATCTTGATGGATTCAGTTCACTAGTGTTATGTTGAGGATTTTTACCTTGATTTCATAAAGGATATTGGTCTGTAGTTTTCTTGTGATGTCTTTATCTGGTATTGCTATCCAGGTACCAACAGGTCCTCATATAAGGACCTGCACCACAGAGTGAGTTGAGAAGCATTCCCTCCTCTTCTATGTTTTAGAAGGGTTTATCAAGTATTGGTATTCATTCTTTGTTAAGTGTTAGGTAGCATTCACCAGTGAAGCCATCTCGGTCTGAGTTTTCCTTTGTTTTCATTCATGTTTATATAACCAGTGGCTAGCAAAAGCTTGGATGGGGGTCAGGCAGCTGGAAATAAGTGTTGGTCAATGTAGAACAAAAGGACTCTTTATTTCACTAAGACCTTGATGTGTTCACTAGACAGGTCTTCTGAACAGCTGCACCAACCCAGTCTGTGGAGTCGCACAGTAAGGTTAACCTTTCTTCTCTGCCGTGGGAAGGAAACTGCATCCCCAGTCCGGGGGCACGGAGGGTACACTCACCATCATCCAGGATGACCAGCAGCGGGGCCAGGAGGTCACACATGCCCTGGACGTAGCCGATCTCAATGTGCTGCCAGATGTAGCTGTAAGGCACACAGGACGGCCAAGGATGGCACCCACAGTCTGCCTCTCCAACCCACTCCTCCTTTCCTCTCACCCTGCTTCAGTCCCCCACCTCTCACCTGGACCAACTCCCCCAACCTCCTGCCTGGATTTCCATCCCCAGTCTCACTCTCCTCAAGCAGCCTATGCACAGTCACCAGGATGACCTTCTTAAAACTCAGGAGCCTTTACAGGCTCTTCACTGCATGGCAGGGGCGTCTGTTGCTTCCTCCCAACCCCCCTCGCAGTCTCACACATCACTTCCCAGGACTTCTTCCCTGCAGGCTGCACTGGGATATTTACCTCTGTACAAACAAAGCGCACGTTCTTGCCTCTGTGTTTCCGCTTGAGCCGTCCCCTCTGCCTGGAATTCTCCTCTGCCTCTTAATAATCGTAACTACCGTTTACTGAGCATTTACTGTATGCTCTGTCCACTACATATGTATTTATCACTGAATTCTCAAACTAATCATATGGAACATCTATCATTATCCCAGTTCACAAATAAAGAGAGTAAAGCACAGAGAATTAAGTGACACGCACCAAGTCACACACCTCACAATGATCAGTAGAGAAAGGATTTGAATCCAGGGGGCCTCACTCCATCGTGTACTCCCGGTTGCTTGTACCTGCGCCATCCATTCCCCACCCCTGACAACCCCGCCCCCTGCTCCCGACGGCCCCGCCCCCGGCCCCCGGCCACCTGCACATGATGTTCCGCAGCTTCTCCAGGTTGGCGGGCGTGAAGTACCAGTAGTTGCGGTCACACCTCTGCACGTCCTTCTCGATGCGGTGCAGGTTCACCGTGTACAGGTCCAGGAGCTCAGGCTGCGGGCCCCCAGGAGGGGAGGGAAAGAACAGTCACACCCCAGCTTCTCACAGGGCAGGGAAAGAACAGTCACACCCCAGCTCCTCACAGGGGAGGGCAAGAACAGTCACACCCCAGCTTCTCACAGGGCAGGGAAAGAACAGTCACACCCCAGCTCCTCACAGGGGAGGGCAAGAACAGTCACACCCCAGCTTCTCACAGGGGAGAGAAAGAACTGTTACACCTCACAGGGGAGAGAAAGAACAGTCACACCCCAGATCCTCACAGGGCAGGGAAAAAACAGTCACACCCCAGATCCTCACAGGGCAGGGAAAAAACAGTCAGACCCCAGATCCTCACAGGGCAGGGAAAAAACAGTCACACCCCAGCTCCTCACAGGGGAGGGCAAGAACAGTCACACCCCAGCTCCTCACAGGGGAGGGAAAGAACAGTCACACCCCAGCTCCTCACAGGGCAGGGCAAGAACAGTCACACCCCAGCTTCTCACAGGGCAGGGCAAGAACAGTCACACCCCAGCTCCTCACAGGGCAGGGAAAAAACAGTCACACCCCAGCTCTTCAGAGGGGCACTCTTCCACAGAATCTCTCTCCTCCTCTTCCTAGCCCTCTCCTGTCATCACTGAGAAAACTTCCTTTATCTGGACCAATCAGATGTCTGACTTTAATTTTTGTTGATGCTGTTTCCTGAGAAGGCCTCTTTCATTTTGTCTGATGAACATTTTCTATGTTTTTTCTCACAATCCTATGAGGTATCTGGAATTATTATCCTCATTTTATATAAGAAAGTAAGATCAAGATAACTAAGATCATGGCATCCAGTCCCATCACTTCATGGCAAATAGATGGGGAAACAGTGGCTGACTTTATTTTTCTGGGCTCCAAAATCACTGCAGATGGCGATTGCAGCCATGAAATTAAAAGACGCTTACTCCTTGGAAGGAAAGTTATGACCAACTTAGACAGCATATTATAAAGCAGAGACATTACTTTGCCAACAAGGGTCCATCTAGTCAAGGCTGTGGTTTTTCCAGTGGTCATGTATGGATGTGAGAGTTGGACTATAAAGAAAGCTGAGGGCTGAAGAATTGATGCTTTTGAACTGTGGTGTTGGAGAAGACTCTTGAGAGTCCGTTGGACTGCAAGGAGATCCAACCAGTCCATCCTAAAGGAGATCAGTCCTGGGTGTTCTTTGAAAGGACTGATGTTGAATCTGAAACTCCAATACTTTGGCCACCTGATGTGGAGAGTTTACTCCTTTGAAAAGACCCTGATGCTGGGAAAGATTGAGTGCAGGAGGAGAAGGGGANCAAGGCCAAAAAAATTAAATTAAAAAAAGAAAGTGAAGTTGCTCAGTTGTGTCCAACTCTTTGCGACCCCATGGACTGTAGCCCACCAGGCTCCTCTGTCCGTGGGATTCTCCAGGCAAGAATACTGAAGTGGGTAGCCATTCCCTCCTCCAGGGGATCTTCCCAACCCAGGGATCAAATCCGGGTCTCCTGCATTGCAGGCAGACTCTTTACTGTCTGAGCCACCAGGGGAGCCCCCAGAACAGGTACATGATCCTTGGCTCAGAAAACCTTTTCAGTTGACATTCTTCCCTCTGGGTTTTACGGCAAGAAAGTAAAATATTTAAGAGATACTGGACCTGAGCATAAACCAAGATGTGCCTAAGCTGGGATTTGAACCCAGCACTGTTTGTCTGCAAAAGCCTGTGTTCTTTAAGTATTAAATTACCTTCTCTTCCAAATAGATTTCTACAGTGAACCCTCCATGATGGGGTAAAGGCAGTGAAACAGAGGCCATTCTGGATAATAGAGGTTTGCCACCCTCCCACGGCTGCAGAAAACAGAGAGGAGGAAAATCCTGGTGACTTACGGAGTAGGTGACGCCACTGGAAGACACAGGGGATGCCTCGCTGTTGGCCGAGGTGGTCACGGCCAGAGAAGCGAGCGCAGGGAAGAGACTCTCCATCTCAGGCTCCTCTGAGAGGTTGTCCTCACTGTCCACCTGGCTCTGCTTTTCCACCTCGCTGCCCCTCCAGCCTTCCATCGCGGGGCCCTCCTTTTCGGGCAGAGCCACGTCCAGGCTGCCAGTGATGGACATGAACTCGTCCATGCTCTCGTTGGCCAGGAGGTCACTCTCCAGGCTGTCCTGCACGGCCAGCTCCTCACGAGTGGCCTCGTCCCGGGAGGTGGTGGCCTCACTGCTCTGCCCGTCATCCATGCTGCTGTCCCTGGGTCGAAGCACCAGGGGGACGGTGCGCTGGGGGTCCAGGACGCTGTCTTCCGTGCTCAGGCTGGGTTCTGAGTGCTCCGAGAGGCCCGAGGAGAAGTTGTGGGAGGAGGGATGGCCTGAGTCTGGGGAGCAGGTGCCATTCACCAGGTTCCCGTTGGGGATCTTGGTCGGTTTCTCCTCCAGCCTACCTTCTGCCTCCACCTGCTCCACCTCGTCCACAGACTCAAAGACCTGCAGACAAGGTGCACAAAGACAGATGGGCTAGGATGTCTGTCATGGTGCTGCTTCCAGCACCGAGCTGAATAGCCATCCACAGGGGGTTGGTTCAAATATGGAACATGCACGCAGGGGAACGCTACACAGTCAGTAAAAAGATGGAGGCAGAACAAGGTGGGACATATTCTCCCATTTGTAGAAAATTTAAAAGTGCTCCGTATGCAGGAACAGGCATAGAAAAATCCAGAAAGAAACAAGGGAGCATTGCAGTTGGCTCTGAGGAGGAAAATCTTTCATCATGCAAAATTATGTGCACAAAAAACTTTTTTAAGTTAACTAATTAGTTAACTGCATAAGGAACAGGCTTAAAATATATCCATGTAGTTAACCATTATGAATCAATTTTCAAGAACACTTAGATGAATATGAAATATTATGGAAAAGTCTCCAGGGTATATATCCAAGATTTAATTGTGGTTATTTGTGTCTTTAGGCCATATCCCATCAATGCAGACTGCATAAGATCATGTCCCAAGGTCATTTGAAATATTTCTTTGGTGTGGTTATATCACCCACTTGATTTACTGTTAATTTCATGTGCTTCTGGTTTTAAAAAGATTTCTTTTCGATTAAATTGCTTTCAGTCATGTTAAAAAAACAAAACAAAACATTTTCCCAAACCCAAAAGCAAAAACAAAAAAAAAAAGAAAATCAAGGAAAAAGGCAAAGGTAGTTCCAAGGAAGGCAAGGAAGGGGTAAGGAAGGGCAAAAACAAAATTAAGTTTACCCGCAAAAATAATTTAAAAAGCAAAAAAAAATCAACGAACAACTGGGGAAGCAAAAACTCAAATTTTAAAGGAAAGAAAAAAAACCAAAAAAAAAAAAACCTAAAGGAACCGGAAAAGAAGGAACTCTGATCCCGTTATTCCCGGCTGGAGGGAGGCGGATGGGCGGAGAGGGGGCGGGGCCTCTGGAAGGTCACCTGTGTGCTGCTGCTGGAGTCGCTCTGCAGGCGGATGTTCTGGCGGCCGGAACTGCAACTCTGGGAAGACTGAGAGGAAAAGGGGGCAGGAGGGAGCTCAGGTGAGGCTGCATCTAGGCTCAGGGTCCCTGCGCTGAGCTCAGGACGGAGTGCTAGGCTGGGAGTCAGTAAGTGTGGTCTTATCTCTGTTCCTGACATGAGCAAGTCCCCTCCCAGGGCCTCAGCTTCCTATCTGTCAAATAAAAGTGGGTAGGGGGCTCATCCCTCATCCCCAGAGCCCCTTCGGAGGCTATACAAACCACAGGACCTCCACCTCCCACCTGCAACCAGAGACCGCCGCTTTTAAATGCTCTGCACTTGAGACTTTGAACTCAAAGGACTGGCTGTATTAATGCCCATTTCCTGCTCCTTCCCTGTATACATGCTTTTTGCCCTATAACTTCCAGTTTGTGTCTACTCTGAAGCAAAGCTAGGCCGTGTGACCTGCTTCAGCCAATGGGATGTTAGCAAACTTGACAAGGCAGACACATAAAAAATGCTTGTGCATTTCAGCTTTTTCTCTTAAAGATCTGCTTTCATTGTGAGAAGGTGACCAGGCTAGTCCGCTGGAGGATGAGACATGAGGAGCAGAGTTGAGCCACCCCAGACACGTGAGAACCCAACATAGAACAACAAACCTTTCAGCTGAGCAGAACTGCCCAGCTGACCCACAGACTCATAAGTGAAAAAGAAATAGTTATTGTTGGATGTCATTGGCTTTTGGGCATTGTTTGTTACACAGTATTAGCATGGCAATTGATGACTGATACATCATTGGTGAAGGGAACTGACTTTCTTTTCACCTCCAGCTTTTGGCTGCTAAACTTGGGGCTCCATCAGGGCAGATATGTCTGACCTGTTCACTGGAGCATTCCTGACATTCCAGGACATCACTGACAGTACCTGGCACATGGTTGGTACTCAACAGCATTTGCTGAATAAGTGAAGGTCTAATGTTGTGCTGGGTACTTTAATATATACTATCTTGTTGGAGCTGCACGCAAATCTCCCCTATACAAATGATCATTTCCATTTCATAGATGAGGTAACTGAGGCCCAGAAGTAAAGCTGCTTGCCTGAGCCCCAGAGCTAAGAAATGAAGGGGCTGGAGTTTGGAGTCAGGTCTGTGCTAAGGCCCCAGACACCCAGCCCTCGCCCTTCCTTCAGCAGCCCCACGAAGCAGAGCCCAGTCTTTAGCCTCCACCTGGCTCCCCGTGGGGAGCCGCCCATCACCTCGTTGCTGATGGTGGAGTCCCGGTGCATCATCCGCTGCAGGTGGCTGTCCAGGCTGGCCCCCGACGAGCATTTGGCCAGGGCGGCCGCGTGGGACTCCCGCTCCCTCTGCCGCACGATCGCCTCGCAGCCCAGCCACTCGGACATGGTCTGTGCGTAGCAGGCATGAATCTGCTCGTCCACCTGCCAGGGTAGATGCACGGTCAGCCGGAGAGAACAGATCAGTGGTTGTCAGGGGTCAGGGATGGGAGTGAGCGGGAGGGAGGTGGGTGTGGCTATAAAAGGACATGAGGACCACAGTAGCACCAGAAAACGTTCAGCACGTTGACTGTGGTGGTAATACACAAACCCACTTGTGTGATAAAACTGTGGAGAACTACATAGACACACACACATGAGCACAAGTAAAATGGGAAGTCTGATCAAGACTGACATATATATATATATGTATATATGTGTGTGTGTGTGTGTGTAAGGAAATATTATACAGCACATGGAATATACCCAATATTTTATAATGACTATAAATGGACTGTAATTTATAAAAACATTTTTTGATTAAGTCCAGATGTCTGGACCGAGTAAAATATTTATTGAATGTCTACTATATGTCAGGCACTATGTTAATCAGTAAGTTTAAAATAATTTTTTTTTAATCTTATTTTTTGACTATGTTGCATGCCATATGGATCTTAGTTCCCAGACCAGGGATTGAACCCGTGCTCCATGCATGGGAAGCACAGAGTCTTAACCACTGCACCGCCAAGGAAATCCCTAATTTATAAAAATTTTAAATCAGTATGTTAAATACCTGAAGCTAACATAATGTTGTAAATAAACTATATCTCAATTAAAAATATAGACATTTATTATAGACAACAACAAAAAGAAATGCAATAGAATATGGACTTTAAAAATGAAGATTGATATATTGCCAGTATATATCCATGTTGATGTCAATACCCTGCTTACGATAAATTGTATTACAGTTTTGCAAGAAGTTACCATTGTGGGGAAGCTGGATGAAGGAGATGTCTGCATTATTTCTTACAAGTGCATGTGAATCTATCACTATCTCAAAAAGCTATTTGAAAGAAACGACATCTGTGGCTTGTGCTGCATTTAATGGACGGCGCTGCTCTCAACCTTCCTGCTCCCCCATATCTCCCTGTCCCCCTGGTCCACCAGGGGACTAGAGCTCCCCCACCCCCACGGTACCTGGCTCTTCCTGTTGTCAAGGACCCCACTGCCCCTCTGGGATAACCAACCTCCTTTCTCTCTGTTTCTGTCATCCCGAACTGGTAGTGGCCCAGGAGGAAAGGCCACACGGCTTTGCGGATCTCCGGCTGGATGCCCCCGTAGTAGATGAGACGTAGCAGCTCCTGCTCCTCGTAACTCTGGTAGGTGGGGGAGGCAAAGATTCGGTCAACACAAAACTAGGGCGTGGGTACTGTGACCTAGTAGTCCCAGCTATCGGACCTAGCCCTCAGTGATCATGCTGTGAACAAGCAAAGCCACATGGACACAGATGTCCATGATGGCATCATATTTGAAAAAGCAAAAGCCTAGGAAATCTCCAATTGCTGTTATTAATAAATGAGTAAGAAATATACCTCTATAGTGTCAAGTAACTAAAACAGCAGGGACTATGGTGTTACTGCAGCCCTGATACAACAATACAACCCAGCAGGTAGTAAGTGGGTGCAGAAGCGTTAGATGAAAAACATCCGTTTTGACTATTTATTGCTTCAGCCAATTTGTCCTTAGGATAGTGCTTCCCAAACTGGGGAGATCTCTAGGAGCATTTGGGGAACTTTCTTTTCTTTCTTTCTTTTTTTTTTTTTTTGGCTGCAGCGCATGACCTGAGAGATCTTAGTTCCCTAACTAGGAACTGAACCTGGGACCTCAGCAATGAAAGCATGGAGCCTTAACCACTGGTCTACCAGGGAATTCCATGGGAAATTCCCAAAATATAAATTCTTGGGGTCCACTCTTAGAAGTTCTCAATCAGTAAATCTGGAGTGGGACCCAGAAGTCAATAAATCTTTTGCATTCCTTAGGAAATGTGCAATCATGCTCACAGACTGCCAGGGATTATGAACACTTTAACTTCTCGAGAAAGATAAGCTGTCATATCCATTTAAATTGAAAATGGACATCAAACAGCTTTATTTCTAAGAATCTACCCTTGAAATAAGAAAACTAGTACAGAAAGGTATATGCTTATAAAGATGTTGACTACAGCACTGCTGAAATAATTTTAAAAAAAAGAAAAGAGACAGGAACAGCCTAGATGTCCATCATTAGAGGAAGATTTGACTAAATTATGGCCCACACATACATGAGGGGCTAAGGTTCTAACATGCAGTATTTCACCTAGGATCTGAAAGATGTCCTTCATATAAAAGTAAGTTGACCACTCAAAATGCAAATATAATGTCACCTCCTTAAAAAATGAATTTCAGCTGTATCTATATAGACATACCTGTGAATGTATAAGTATAGGAAATGTATAGCAAGCTCTACACCAAACTGATACTAGTCATTAATTTAGGGGATCAGAACTGGGGGTGGGGGGTGGGTATGGCAGAGACATACTATCTCAAAACTTTTAAAAAATATGTACACTTGCATTCTTCATTTTTTGAAGAATGCTAAGAGGTCCCCATAGTCTCTGTCCCCCCAAAGTCTCTGGCCAAGCCTTACTGTGCTGTCCTGCAGGTACTGCTCCCAGATCCCGGCTGTCAGCCCGTGTCCAGCATCACAAGGCAAGTCAGGGGACACGATCATGTGATTGACCAGGGCTGACAGGTGGGTCCTCACGGTAGACAGGTGTCTGCAGTAGGCAAGCCCTGTGGGGAGAGTTACTCCCGACCCCCAATTCATCCTCAAGTCCCAGAGAGGACCCTGGACCAGCTGGAGCCTGAGGACTCAACCCACCAACAATCGGGCTAATCACGATGATTGTGACGACGACAGTGGGATAGCTGACTTACACAGCACACACTCTGTCCCAGGGTGCCGCTCCCAGAGCTTAGATAACTTAGTTGATTCTCACGACAACCCTATGAAGCAGGTCCTCTTACTATGCCCATCTTACAGGCACAGTCTGCATGTATCACTTGCTCAGGTCACGGTGCTAGGTGTGGAGCTGGGATATGAACGCAGACCATCTGCTCCAGAATCTGGGCTCTCAACCACCATCAGGGAGGAGCCACATCATGGGAGGGCATCAAGCCCACCTTGACTCCCACCCCTTCCACCAGGAAGCTCCTCCACTGTGGTTTCATAAATACTTGCCCAGCACCTCCTCCATGCCAGGCCCTGCATTAGGCACTGCGGATGGATGGTAACAGAACAGGCAAAAAGCTTGACCTTGGGGAGCTCACGCTTTCCCCGTCTCTCCAGGCAGATATGATCTCCACTATTTTTTCACAGGCCCATGCAGGATGTAGTAACACTTTCCTAGATTTCCTGAAAATATACACATGTTTTATCACCCCCATCGAGGCTGTGAGGTTGGGGAAATAAAACCTGCTAAAGAATCAAAATAGGAGAGTGGAAAAACAGCCCTTGTAGGCCTGGGTTTGAGAGCCCCAGCGCTGTCACTTTTGCTGTGTGACCTTCGGCAAGTCCTTGTGCCTCTCTGTGCCTCAGTTTCCTCACCTGTTAACTGGAAACCATCAGAGCACCTGTGTTAGTAACTTAGTTTTTACGTTATTGGAAAGGGATTAGGCCATCTTACTCTTCTGCTCCTGCCTATAGGAAGAAAGAACTGACATCTATTGAGCACCAACTGCAACAATATTAGGTGCTTTATGTATGTTTCCATTTAATCCTGAAAACACACCCTCTAAGGTGGGAAACAAGAGATGCAATGGTAATTAAACCTTGCTCCTTCCAGCAAGGAGCCCCATTGTTCACTGCCTTTTTTTAGAACCATGGGAGAAATTTCATGCCCAATCTGTAAAAGAGGAAATTGAGGCTCAGGGAGGTTACTGTAACTTAACCAACACTAGACACCTAGGAAACAGCCAGGCTCATTCCCCTAATACTGCTGATATGCAGTAGGCACTGAATAAATGCTCCCTGGAGACCATAATGGCAAATAAGGCCAATACGCACATCCATAGAAGGCTCTGGAAAGGATCTGGTACTTCATATTGTCACAGAGAAGCTTCAAGGGAGCCCTGCACGTGGAGCAAAAGGAAGACATTTAGTACAGATCCACACATAGCCTGGGCTTGCTGGAGAGGAACATAACTCATTATCTCTGGGGAGCAGATGAGAACCAGCCAGTCAAAGAGACCAGGGGTACTGCTGTTTCCATCTGCGTAGCATCACTGCCCCTTCTTTTTGGAAGTTTCTTCCTTCCCAATTCTGTTCCTATGCTTTGGGTGGAGCTGATTCTACCCAGTACATGACTCAGCTTAGAGGCACAGTGCTTGGGTCAGGGGGGCATCACATGAGTCAACCTGGGCCAATGAGAATCAACCCTGGCACATCTACTAGAAAAATGACACTCTTCTTTACTTGAGTTCCTAAGCCAGTGGGATACAGGGCAGCAGCTGCTAGGATCCATTTTTATTGCTGCATAGGAAGGGCCTGCCTGAGAATGAAACCATCTTAGAGATAAGCAGAGCTGAGAGCTAAAGAAGCACATTCCTGTGTGGCACATCTGGATCCAGCCATGCCTGAAGCCCCCACGCTGCTGGATGTCTCAGTTCTATCAATACGTTTTATTTTTCATTTGCACCAGTTGGAAGTGGGTTTCCATTACCAGCAGAAAATGTTCTGACTTCTAAGGTGACCCAGCTGAACCAGAAAGGAGACAGTCTGGGATTCAGAGTCTGGTTAATTGCAAAGCAGGTAATGCCTCAGAGATTCTCCTTGCACAGGAATTTGAGACAGGGATGCTGTTTTAGGTGAAAGAGGAGAGAGAAATATGGCCTCAGAACTGATGGGGAAACAGGACTGCTGAAAGAAGTGTGGTGCATTCTTGGAGAGAACAGAGTAGAAGAATATCACACCCATTAAAAACCCAGGGAGACTGGGAAGGAGGCATGGCTGAAGTCCTCCAGGGAGGCGTTAAACACTAAAGACACCCTCTTGTGCCCTTAGGCTGATGAGGCTCAGGCAGCCTCAGGTTACATGAGGGCAGCATCACATTGGTCGCTGCTCTCTAAAGCGGCCTTGGCTGTCCGTAAGGTGGTGAGTTCCCCACCAATGCAGCTGTGGAGCAGATGCTATGAGTGGGGGTATTGGGTTAGAGCAGCATTTGTCAATGGTCCAGGGACCATCAGTCACAGAATCACTTGGGGTTTCTCCAGCATGTGGATTCCTAGGCCCTGCACAGATCTACTCAATCAGGATCTCCAGGAAGTGGTTGAGGAAGCAGTATGTGATCCCCAAGGTGATTCTGATGGATATTAAAAGTGAGAATCTCTAGTCATTTCAGTGCTTCTCAAGCTTACAAGCACACACTTCATCTTGGGACCCTAGGTGATGTGTTAAAATGCAGATTCAGCTTCAGTAGTTCTGAGGCGAGGGGCAGAGAATCTGCTCAGGTGATGATGCTGCTGGCCCACAGACCACACTGACAGCCAGGAGTTCTGTGGCTTCACAGATTGGACGTTGGCCCCCACTTATATTCCCATGACTGAAGAATGGGCCATGCACTGGGACAGAGGCCCAGCAAGGAAAAAAGGATTCCACTCTCCCAGGCCAGGCCAGGCTGGGTCAGTGGGAAATACGACCAATCTCGCGAATAGGCCGAGTAGTCTGGAGAAGACAGAGCTCTGTGGACAAGGAGAGAGATCATTTGGGGATTTAACTTTATGCAATAAATTTAAGAAGTGTCATTTACTGAATATCACCATGTGCCCGGTACATGGACTGGCCGCTTTTAAACCGTTATTTGTCCTTAAGACAGCTAAATAAAGCAAGCATTTAAAGTCACTGGTATTCACGATATTCAAGATGGTGGTAACTCCATCTGCCAGGCCCGTGAATGTAGAAAAAGCAAAGACCCCTGCTGATGCATGGTAGACACAGAGCATGCATGATAAGTCATTTTTTGTTGTAATAAATCACTGAGATTTTAGGACTGTTTGTTACAGCGACAGTACCTTATTGATCCTGACTGATATATGTAAGGAAGCTAGGACTTCACAAGGCTAGGATTTAATTAAGATCTGAATGATTCTATGTTGTTGTTGTTGTTTAGTCACTCAGTCGTGTCCGACTCTGCGACCCCATGGACTGTAGCCCAGCCAGGCTCCTCTGTCCGTGGGATTTCCCAGGCAGGAATACTGGAGTGGGTTGCTATTTCCTTCTCCAGGGGATCTCACCCACCCAGGGATCGAACCCACCTCTCCTGCATTGACCGGTGGGCTGTTCGCCGCTGGGCCACTAGGGAAGCCCTGGATGCTGCTATAGCCTATGTTAACTCCCCTGAATTCAGCGCAGGACAAGAAATGGGTGCCTGCACGCCTCCAGTCAGTGCTTGCGTTTCTTCCGTCCACAGCCCAAGCCCCTCATACCTCTCATGGTTGCAGCCGTTGGTTGAGCCACCATCAGCCGAGCCACTCTGCGAACAGGAGGAACAGGAGGACTGCCGGGGGCTGGGCTGCCACAGGGATGGCAGGCTGCTCACAGAGACATCCATTAGGTCCTGGGGAGCTGTGGTGGGGGCAAGGGCAGAGGGAGAGCCCTGAAAGCTTTTGTGGGTCACAGAAACCTCACCCCAAAGCAAGCAGCTCACCCCCACACCAGCGCAGGGACAGCGAAAGACCCGGAATGGCACAGTAGGAAACAGCGACCTCAATCACCGTCTGACCCAGGTCCTTGAGCCCATCCAAGTCAATGGAAGCCACCACCAAGATTGCGGGTCCCCAAGGTGATAGGAAGGGCTGATGGCAGTTGAAGAGACAGAAAGAGATCAGAGCCAGACAAACAGGCCCAGTCGCAGAGCATGAGGCCAACCCCCACCATGTTGTCCTTCAACTGTCCTCATGGGAGGCTGGCGGGAAGGCGGGGGAGCCCACTGGGGAATCCTGGGGGGACCGATGGCCTCGAGTCCCCAGGGGTAGGTCTCATGGGGAGCCCTTGGTGGTGAGATGTAAGGGAGCCTGGCTCAACAGGGGAGGCAGGACACTCAATAGCAAGGGAACCCAGAGGAGCCCCCACTGATGAAGATGCCTGCATGGTCTATGGTCCTGCTGCTACAGCTGCTCTACCAAGAGAGCCTCAAACAGGCTGGCAACTCCCCCAGAATCACGTGGGGTGCTTGTTTAGAAGCCATATGCCTGTATCCTACCTGTATGCTTGACCTACTGAACTAAAGTCTCCTGGTGATACAGCCCTCGGGTCTGTCTTTCAGAAAGAGTTCTGAGGTAGCAGCCCTGTCTGAGAACTAAGGGGCACAAATGAGCTCCTAACTCTTGGACACTGGTGGTTCCTGATCAACTGCTCCCAAGGATGTACCACTCGCAGTTTCCCATATTGTTTTTTCCCGGCTCCATGGAAGCCACAGCATTTGCAACGCTGCAGAACAGACATACCAGTGACCCAGGCATTACCATTTCTATGGTTAATTTCCCAGCCTCTTGGTGCAAAAAATGGTATTTTCTCTAGGACAGGACTTGCTGACTATCTCCTGTAAAGGGCCAGGTAGACAATATTTGAGGGTTTGCAAGACATTTGGTCACTATCATAACCATTCTACTCTGCCATCATAGAACAAAAGTAGCCAAAAAAATTGCAAACAAATGAGGATGGGTTATGTTCTAATAAAATTTAATTCAGGGACACTATAATGTGAATTTCATATCATTTTCACCTGCCACAAAATATTGGGTTTTTTTTTTTTTCAATTATTTAAAAACGTCAACACCAACCTCAGTTCATGAGTGAAATAGAGGATTTGGATTTTGGCAAGCCTTAGCTTGCCAAGCCCTGCTTTAGGAACTTAGAGGGGCACACACTTGCCCGATGAGCAGCACCTCCTTAACGATGGCTGGCAATACCTGGCCTCTCCCCTTGGGCTCTAAGGAGAGGAGGAGCTATGGACCTGGCCCCACCAGTCATCACAGCGCCCTTGTTGACAGCGTCTGCCCACCCACGGACAGAACAGAAAACCGCTAACAGAATGAGGTTCTGGGGTCCATCAAAAGTGGCTTTGTAGCAGACTCACCAATGAACTGGCCAAGAAAGACCAGTCAGCTCCTATAAAATGTTCTTGAAAACATCCCAGTTCTCAGCCAACCTCCGGGAAGCACTGACCAGGAGACTGGCCCCGGTGTGGCAAGCATGCCCCCAGCCCCAGCCTCTCGCCCCCTGCAGACATCATCAGTGGACCCCTCTGCTGCTGAACCCACAACACTCCAAGTTGTGTCTTGTAGCACAAAGGCAAGACTGTGTAAGGGCATCAAATTTTTCCCCTGCCTCCATCTCCCCCTGAGGACCAAGACTCAAATGACAACATGGCAGAGGGAGCCAGCGCCCAGTCCCAGGGGTGAGGGGAGCCCAGACATTACTGAGGGGCTGCGGCTTCAGGCATGACGTGAGGAGGGTCGTGTCCCATCTGGCTTGCGCCCACCGGCTGCCCCTGGCCACCACTAACATGGACCGGCCTGCAGGAACCACCATCCAGGCAGGGCCCGCGGAGATGGGGGGAGGGCTGCCCAGGGGGCTGGAAGCAACTTAAGAGACAAAAATAAAAACACCAATGAAATGGAAGGTCTGTGGTGGGTGGGACAGGACACTGAAAAGGCGGAGGAACCAATTCCCCGGGGGTTGAACCTTTCCCCGTCCTGCTCCACACAGTTCCCGTGGCTTGTGTTTGTTAGAGGAAGAAAGAATGCCGACATCTATAAAGAGCCTACTATGTGCTGGGTGCCATACCATAAAGGGAACCGCCTCACCTCTGATGAGCCTGTAAGGCAGTGATCCCCAACCTTTTCAGCTCCAGGGACTGGATTTGGGGAAGACAACTTTTCCACGGACCGGGGTTGGGGTGGATGGTTTGAGCATGATTCAAGCATGTGACATTTATTGTGCACTTTATTTCTGTTATTATTGCATCAGCTCCACCTCAGACCAGCAGGCACTGGATCCCGGAGGGTGCGGACCCCTGCTGTAAGGGATGTGTTTTGTGTCCTATTTTGCACGAGAGAAAACGGAGGCTCAGAACGACAAGACAACTTACTCACCCAAAGCCTCACCAAGTCGTCACTGCGGTATCCAGTCTTTTTGGCTAAAGTCCCTTCTTCTCTTCCCACTAACAACAGTTGTCACTTTCTGAGCGCAAGTCCTACCATTTACCCCTTTTACAGATTAGAAGACTGAGGCACAGTGAGTTTAAGCAGCATGCCCAAGACCACCCAGCTAATAAGTGGTGAAGGTGGGATTCCAACTCAGAGGATCAGACCCCGAGATCCTATTCATACTCTCTCAGCTGTTCTTCTATTGGCTGTTGACTCCCTAACCCATCCTTGCCCTAGATCAGCGGGTCTCAACTCGGGTGCTGCTGGCTTTCCAAGGGACACTTGGTGATGTCTGGAGACATTTCTGGCTGTCACAGTGTGTTGGTAGTGGGGACAGATTCACTACTTGGCATCCAGTGAGTGGAGACCAGGGAAGCTGCTCAACGTCCTACAGTGCATAGGACAGCCCCCACCATAAAGAATTTCTCTTGTTGTTCTGTCGCCAAGTTGTGTCTGACTCTGTGACCCCATGGACTGCAGCACTCCAGGCCTCCCTGTCCCTCACCATCTCCAGAAGTTTGCCCAAGTTCATGTCCATTGCATTGGTGATGCCNAGGGGCGAGCGAGCTGGGGCATTTATACACAGCTCCTGCCAGTCACTGGCTGCTCCAGGGAGGCAATGTAGGCCACCCCACCTACGGGCAGAGGAACCCTGGTGGCTGCAGAAACCCTGAGGCAAGGAGACACGAGGCTGGCAGATGGCAGAGGAGCTGCACGCATAGAGGGTATGAGTGGGTGCAGCTAGCATCTGTTCCCCTGGCACGCGCAGGACCACAACAGGCTGACGTGGATATTCCCCAAAGAGGAAAGATATGGAGCACCCAGCCTGGTTCCCAGCTAGAGCCTACAAATCATGTGTTGGATGGATCCCCGCAGAGCCAGCTGCCAGGGAAGGCAGCAGCTGGGCACCTGGCCTTCGGATGAATCAGCTCTCTGGGGGGAAGTGGTACCACAGAGAGGCTGGGCCAGCTCCAGACCTTGATCCTGGGCGGGAACAGATGTAGGGATACACGTCAGGACACTCTATGGCTCTTAATGACACAGGAATGTAAGGCTTTCCTCCTAACGGGCCATAAAGGAACACACAAGAAAACACAGGCTAACCCAAGACCTTAGCACCAAGCCGGCCCCCACACCCCAGCTCTGACAGCAGTGGATGGGAGCGGGAGCATTAAGAGGCCTGGCATGATGAGTCCAACCTCGCCAGGGAGGACGTCTGCTTTAAAAACGCCCTCACCGCCCAGCTGTGGTCCCTTAAACAAAGGGAATCTCGGAGCCATTATCCATCAAATGGGGACAAGAGGGCCACAGAGGGTTAGATAGAACGAGGTTTCCAGAAACAAGCCATAACTTATTACTCACTTGTTTAACAGACACGCATACAGTGCCTAACAAATGCCAGGCTTCCTTCTGAGAATTTTTCAAATATTAATTCATTTAATCACCACCACAGCCCGCTGGAATGGATGATCTTTGCAGCAACCACAGTTTGCATTCACTAAGCACGACTTCTCAGCAGGCCCCATGCAAATGGCAGGACATACGTCACAACCTCGCGGGCCAGGGTCTAGGGTCGTCCTTCCCCCCGCTGTCTTTTATTTATTCTTTTGGCCACGCTGCATGACTTGCTGGATCTTAGTTCCCCAACCAGGGATGGAGCCCGCTCCCTCGGCAGTGAAGATGCAGAGTCCTAACCACTGGACTGCCAGGGGATCACCCCCTCTGCTGTTCTTGACAACCACTTGGCCTACGGTATGCGAGGCCTCATTCTATGGGCTCTATGATGACCAGCTTATTATCTCACTGAATCCTTACAACAATCTGTTGAAGTAAAAAAAAATAACAGTAACAACCACATAATAGCATTTGAGTGTTCTTTCTGTGCCAAGTACTTTATCTCATTTGATTCTTGTGAGAGTCCTGTGAAATAGGTGCTATGAACATCCCCATTTTACAGATGAGGAAACCAAGGCACAGAGGGGTGAAGGGATTTGCTCAAGTTAAACCAGGATTTCAGAGCCCACGTCACGGCTGCTACCCCATGCCACCTCACACCCAGGGACATGTAAGTTAGCCAAGTAGAGAGTGGTTATTCATCTGGAAGAAAATCAAGGCTGCCAAGACCCTAATTTCTTGATTCCAAGTCCCCCTGCTAACCCCAGAATTCACATCTCTTGTCACGGCTGCTACCCCACGCCACCTCACACCCAGGGACATCTAAGTTAGCCAAGTAAAGAGTGGTTATTCATCTGGAAGAAAATCAAGGCTGCCGAGACCCTAATTTCTTGATTCTAAGTCCTCCTGCTAACCCCAGAATTCACATCTCTTGTCCTCTGGTCCCACGTAGCTGAAGTCAATTTCAGGACCAGCTAAACAGATTGACTCCCCGGGGCCGAGGGCCAGGGCCGCTTACCGAGTTCGGACTGCGTGCCAGGGTAGATGATCCTGAACACGTAATCCGTGGCCTCGTCATCTTCCTTGTCTGAAGATGTGGACTCGGATGAACCCTGGGGGCTTCGCTTGCGCAGTTTGGGGAACACTTTGCCCTGAAAGAACACACCCCAAGGCCTGGCCCCTGGGACACACCTGTCCCGCAACCTGCACACCCTGAGGGTCCCTGTGGGGCGTGCATGAGCCCACACAGCCACTCAAGGGCCCGAAGGCAAGAACAGCCACTCCCCACGGCTGGCCCCCAGCCCTGCCTCCCTGGGCCCCCCACGATCACTCACCTTCCCCCGCTGAGACCAGAGCGGCGGGTCCAGCTGCCCGTGAGGGAGCAGCCCGTTCTCTAGGCACGAGAGGAATTGCAGGAGGTGCCCTCCCTTGGGGAAGCGGAAGGGCGGCCTCTGGATCCCATCCTGGCTGACCAACACCACCGTCCCGCCGCTGTCCACTGCCGCCACGACCCGGCCAGAGGAGACCCGGCAGGAAGTCACTACGAGGCACGGGGAGTCCCCCTCCTCCCCAGACATCCCCAGCCAGACCCAGGGGTCCCGCTCCGAGGCTCTGGGAAAGGCCTGGGCAGAAGGTCAGGGGCAGCTTTCACCTCCTCTGAGTCTCCCTCATCCTACCTGCCATGGTCATCAACTGGAGAATGACAGGGCAAGGTCAAGACAAAGGTGGTGGCCTCCCTGCAGTCACCCGACAAAGGAAGATGATGCCCCCTCAAACACCCTCAGCAGGTTGACCTGATGTATTTCTGTATGGAGGCTGTCAGATAGATCCCTCTGCAGGGCAGCAATTGCCTCTTGCTAGCATGCATTACACGCCTTAAGCACTTACTGTATACATACACAGCACATTAAAGGCACTGTCTTACTGTAATACTCAAAACAGCCCTGTGAGGCATATCTGTTATTGCTTATTTTGCAAATGATAAAACTGAGGCTCAGAGAGGTTATGTCACTTGCCCAAGGCCACACAGCTGGTGAGTAGCAGAGCCTGGGTTTGAACCCAGGTGTGTTTCATTAAATAGGCTGAAACCACTGTCTTTTGCGCCTTGGTGAGGTGCAGACACCGTGCTTTCTAAAGCAGGATGGCCTTTCGCTTATTCAGAATATACCTTCTTTGAACTATAAACTACAGTTATAAATCTTCGATTTTCAGAACACTGACTTTGGAGGGACAAAGGCCTGGGTTTGGCACCAGACTGGGGAGCTTAGAAAGGATGTCTTTGTGCCATGCTGCTTCCTCAGCTCTAAGATGGGAATGACAGTGCCTCTAGCAGTGGGCTGTAGCAACGATTAAATAGCAGGCACGTGAATAGTGAGAACCGTGCCTGACACATGGCTTTGATGCTGAGCCCTTAACAAATGTCGCTTGATCCTCACAACAACCCCATGAGCAGATACTGTTACTATCCCCATTTTACAGATGTGGAAACTGAGGCTCAGAGAGGTGAGGCCACTCGTCTGAGGCTGCACAGGTAATAAGGGGGTGGGGAAGGCAGGGGACCCAGGAGGAACCCCCGGCCCCATGATTACCCGCAGTCCCTACCTTGCTGGTGGCAATGCAGGTAGACAATCTCCTCCAGGCGGATGGTCATGGCATAGTCCCAGTAGACGCTGGAAGGGGAGGGAGGGCCAGGCTTGCAGGATGCCTGTCCCGCTCATCACAGGGACGCCCCACCCACAGGCTCCTCCACCCACCTCACCAGGACCACCTAACCCCAACATCCATGTCCCCAGTCTTCGCAGACCCTATCTCCCCTTCTTCTGGCTCCAGTATCCCAGTTTTCCAACTTGCCCCCTACACACACATTTCTTTAACCCCAGTCCATGTGGCTGAGGTTGACCTCTCCTACCCTCCCCCTTCAGGACTCCAGGAATGGGCACCTGACCCTGGCTTGGCGGATCATCATATGACACTGTTCTGGACCATGACCCAGGCAGAACCAGTGAGACTCAATTACTAGATCTACGTGAGAAATCTCTGGGAAAGAAGGGCTTTCTGCTAGGAGAGTAGCGGTAAGGACGACAGAAGTCTGGAGACGTAAAGAGCCCTGGCAAGAAAAGGCTGCCTGTGAATGGAATCAACAGTCAGGAAAGTAGAGCCAAGAGATGGAAAGGGTTTGGGTCCTCATTTGAGTCCCTGGATCCAGCCCCGCCTGAAGCCACCACCCCTGGATTTTTTTCGGTTCATGAGAGCCAATGCTTCAGGCAGCTTGAGTTTGGTTTTCTGTCACCAGCAGACGCTGGGGAGAAGATGTGAGCAAGACAGACTCCTTGCCTTCACAGAACTGAGATCTAAAGGGTGAGACAGTCAGAAAACAAGTAGGGACAGATTTATTACGATTTTGTAAATGCTAAGAAGGAGATTCAGGGCTCTGAACTCAGCTGGGAGGTCGTAGAAGGTCTGATACTGAGGTTTCAGATGAGTAAACTGAGATAAGCTTCATGGGCAAGAGTGTTCCTGGCTCCCAGAGGATTCCTCCATCAGAAACTTAGGTGTCAAAAAAAGAAAAGAAAAAAAGAAACTTAGGCGTCTGGCTGGAGTTGGATTATCTGGCCCAGCTGAGGACTGACTGCCTCCCAATGACCCCCTCTGAGGACAGATGGTAACCTCTGCCCAGGAAGTGATCAGCTTAGAGAATGATATTAATCACACCAAAGCCTGGCGGTGATCGCACTGAGGCTTAACATCACACAGAACGCAGCAACAGTGCTCTGTTTATGGCCCTTGAAGAGAGTCCTTATGCTATACATACACACACACACATGCGTACATACATATGTATATAAATACATATATATATACACATACATATATTTACATTTATATTNTCGCACTGAGGCTTAACATCACACAGAACGCAGCAACAGTGCTCTGTTTATGGCCCTTGAAGAGAGTCCTTATGCTATACATACACACACACACATGCGTACATACATATGTATATAAATACATATATATATACACATACATATATTTACATTTATATTTACAACTATGTATATAAACTTCTAGATAAAATCCTATAATCCTATGACGTCTATTTGCTACTGCAGAACAAACGCAGGGCAGAGGACGGTGAGGGGAAGGTTGTTAGGGCTGTGTGGTGGGTACTTCAGTTCTTTCTACTTTCATGTTAGAAAGTGAAAAAGTGAAAAGTCGCTCGGTCACGTCTGACTCTTAGCGATCCCATGGGCTATACAGTCCATGGAATTCTCCAGGCCAGAATACTGTAATGGGTAGCCTTTCCCTTCTCCAGGGGATCTTCCCAACCCAGGGATCGAACCCAGGTGTCCTGCATTGCAGGCGGATTCTTTACCAGCTGAGCCACAAGGGAAGCCCAAGAATACTGGAGTGGGGAGCCTGTCCCTTCTCCAGAGGATCTTCCCAACCAGGGATCAAACCGGGGTCTCCTGCATTGCATGTGGATTCTTCACCAGCCGAGCTATCAGGGAAGCCCTTTATGTTAGAAATTCCCCATAAGCAAAAGTTTTGAGGAAGTCAGGCACATGTCCAATGATAATAGAATCCCCAGCCACTAGGTCTCTTAGAAGCATGACTCCAAGGCCTCTGTTGGGTCTTATAACTCACAGGGTATCCAGGAGCCCTAGAGGAGAGGCTCACAACCAACACCTCTGGCTTCCTTTTGCATCGAGTGATGGGTAATGTGGCTGGAGACCGGGGAATACTGTCATTTCTGGGCTTACAAGATCTTTGTTAGTATTTCTCTCTCCCAGTGGCGTTTGCTCAAGGCACTGCCCAATGCCCGTCCCCTAAGACTCTTCCAGTTGGCTCTCAGATCCCATGAACTACCCATGAGGCCACAGGTGCAGGGAGGCTGGGCCACTTGGTCATAACAGAAGGAACAGGGCCGGGGCAGGGCGCACGGGACGGGGCGCGATCGGCCCTGCGCTGAGGGGAAGGAGAGGCTCACCTCTTCTCATAGTCCAGGTCCCCCACAGACCCATTCATCAGCTGGTTGGGCGTCCACTTCAAGGTCATGACGTCAGCCGTCTGGTGCAGGGACAGATACCCCGGCACAGCCTCCATGTCGTCTCTCTGCAGAGACAGGGGGACTCAGGCCTGGTCGTGGTGCCGGAGCCACAGAGAACACGGGCCCCGACCTGTGGCACTCGCGGGCACACAGCCAGAACCAAGAGGTTGGCTCATTCCCCCCAAGGCCGTGTCCGTTTGGAAGCCCTGACCCTCCCTCCAAGTGGCTGTGCTAACCAAGCCTTCTGCCGCCAACCACCAGGATGGGTTTGGGTCTGCAGGGTCAGCTGTGGAAGCCGCCCGTTCTACCCAGGGCCCTAATGCAAAGGCGGGGTTGTGGGGGGCGGGTCTTTAGAACAAGGAACGGGGCTCTGCCCTTTCAACAATACCTTTTCCAAAACAGAAGGCATTTACTGCCGTCACTGTGGCCAGTCTTAAGGGAGAAAGAGAGTGCAGCTGAGCTCTATGACCCATCCCACAGATGTTACCCAGAAGCCCCTCCCCAGACACCTGCTCCACGCTCCCCGCCCAGCAGCCCCATCCTCCGCCTTCCCAATTCATCGGCTGAGCTTCTCACTTGCTCCACTTTATTCCAAGTGGGGTGCGGTGGAGGGGGCTCCAAGACTCACACATAAGAGGCAGCCCTCCTCCCTGCAGACCCACCCCCCAAAACACGTGGAGACAGAAGACAACCGACATTTACTGAGCACTGAGGGTATACCGAGCCTGGCTCTGCTCCACCAATATCACCTCAACCACACCGCAACCCCGGGAGGCAGCATCCTTGCCGTATTTCATTGATTCTACGGCACACAATTGTTTTTTCACATTTTAATGCACCTAAAGTGGGGATGCCTCTTATAATCAGCAGTTATATTACAACTGTGACATAGTCATCCTTGCCCAGTCTCGTGCAGACTCAGTCACAGACGTTTATATGTTGACCCCTCAGTGAGGTTCGGTGTAATGGTTTTTACTCCACATGCAGAGTACGGGGACGTTTTAAAATGTCTCCGAAAAGATGATAGACTGTGATCTGACTGGAAAAGTGACTGTGTACACGGGAAGGCTGCTTCCTTCCTATGTACACGCCAGTAGCTGCGCTCCCTAAGTATTGGCTGTGAAGATGTTCACCTTGATATCCTAAGCACCCTGTACAGAGCAGGTCCAGCACAAATGAGGGAACTGAGTGAGTGAGTGATGATGAGGGAGAATGATAGATAAGACAGCTGGGTGGAAAGGTAATGGGTAGATGGACTGGAAAACAAATGAACAAATGGACGGGTGGAGGTTAAAGATGGGTGGATGGATGATTGATGGGTGGAGCTGATGATGGGTAGAAGGACGGATGGATGCATGGGTGGACGTAATGATGGAGAGAGGGATGGATGAATGGATAGGTGGCTGGGTAGATATAAATACAGGCAGATGGACAAAAAATGGTGAAGGGATGCATGAACAGAGGGAGGGGTGAATACAGAGGCTGGAAGAGAGTTGACTGGCTGGCTGGGTGGGACACTGACAGATGAATGGATGGATGAATGGATAGAAGGAAATACCATCCTGTGGGTGAACAGATGGAGAGATGGAGATATTGGCAGATGAACGAACAGACGGATCAGTGAGTGGATGGATGGATAGATGGATGAGCAACCTGGGGCCACAGGGACCCCCCCCCCCGTAACCTGGAGCCAGACCCGCAGTGGAAGCCCTGGGCCCAAGATGGGGACCCTCACCGGCTGGACCAGAACGTTGTTCTTGCCGTAGAGCAGGGTGGCGCGGGAGTTCTGATGCAGGGACTCCACATAGTCACGGGCGGAGAGGGAGGGCCGGTCGTCCATGCTGCCACTCGAATGCCTTTTCTGGATCTGGCAACGTGAGGGGAGGCGGCGGGTGAGGCCTGAGTGACCATCAAGGCTGCAGTCCACTCCCCACCTCCACGCCGAGTCCAGAACTCAGCCGGACTGCCCCCCGGGGCCCGCCGTCCTCCCCACTCACGCAGAGGGCCGGACGCTTGGTGGGCGAGTCCTGCCTGAAGTGCGAGCTGTGGATGCGGTGCCTCTGGACAAGCTCGTCGGCCGAAGGGTCCGTCCAGAAGTGGTCGGAAGTCTTCATCTTGGTGTACTCCAGGGCGCAGGGCCCCACTGCGGAGCAGATGGGGCTGGGAGCCCATCGCCCAGGACAGTCCCCTCTCCCTCCTCCCACCAGAAGGACCCCCCTCCAGCAGCTGGGGCACCCCAGGCTCCTGCCAAAGAGAGACCAGCGCAGGAGCCTGAAGGTGGGAGGCAGGGAGCAGTTTCGAAGGTGGGAAGCTGGAGGGAGGCGAGACAGGCCCTTAGGAGGCGCCCCCTCGAGCCGAGACCAGAGATCCAGATGAAGCTCAGAGCGCTGGCTGTGCCACTTACCCAGCAGAGACGCAAGGATGGGGCCGTCCACCGGGTCCATCAGGAGAGCTTCCTTCTCGTAATACTTACTAGCGAGAGAGGAAAGGACATGCAGGGTTGGATGGTGACCAGCAGAGGGCGCAGAGTCGACTACAGCCTGATGGTTGAGAGCCGACAGACTGGGTTCAAAGCCCCTCTGGTCACACAGCTATCGCTGTGAGCCTCAACTGCCCCATCTGTCAAATGGGCATAATGATAATATTATGGGCTGCCTAAGGACGTTTGCGAGCGACAACAGATGTCAGGCACTTAGCACGGCACTTGGCTGTAACTGCTTAACACAAAGACAGCGTCTGTGCTGAATGGTTTCCGTTTTTGTTCGTCTGACTTCTTGTGTGTGTCCAGTCGCTCAGTCGTGTCTGACTCTTTGTGAGCCCAGGGACTGTCAGGCTCCTCTGTCCATATAATTCTCCAGGCAAGAATACTGGAGTGGGGAGTCATTCCCTTCTCTAGGGGATCTTTTTGAACCAGGGTCCCCTGTATTGCAGGTGGATTCTCTACCATCTGTCACCAGGGAAGGCCAAATTGTTGTGTACTGGCCTCGGATTCTTTGCAAATTCATACGGTCTAGAAAGAGAACTCCAGAATGGAAAGGACCTTGTCCTGACTTCTGAGGGATCTCAGGCCCAGAGAGGGTAAGAGACTTGCCCGAGGCCACACAGTAGGTGGCTGGAGGCTACATCCAGCCAGTTCAGCTCTTCTTCCCGTTCAACAGCAGTGGGTGCAGAGCCCAGGATCTAGAGTTGGCTAGCCAACGGGGAGCCCAGGCTGGCTCCTCCCTCCCTCTCTGTGTCCCTGGACAGGCGACTACCCTCCCTGAGCTGCAGTGTCCTCAGCTATAAAACGGGAGGAATGACAACTCACCCACCCAGGGCTGCTGGGAGGAATAAATGTCCAACTGCACGGATTAAGTTCTGACATCAGGAGAGGGTCTCACTAAATGCGGCAACGCGATTGCAGTATCACCCCAAAGAAATCTTCAGCCACCCAGAACACTGGCTGGGGCAGAATGACATGCCTTTGGCATGCTCAACATCAAGCTTATACATTTCGGTGTCAGATCTGAAGCTAATACTTAGAGACACTTTCCAGCCCACCACTCAGTTTCTGTTCCCCAAATCAGCACAGCTATGTGACCATAACCTGAAAATAATGCCTTAAAAATCACAGGTATAGATGGGCACAAGATGTGACTTAGAGGGCAGTCCCAGGGAGTCTCTTCAGGGTGATGGGTTCTTTGGTACAGTATTCTGTAGCCTGAGTGTGGCGTTGGTTTTATGAAACTACACATGTATTAAATTTCATAGAATTATATAGCAAAAAAAAAAGTATGTTTGGTTAACGTTATTATGCCAATGGCAATTTCTTGGTTTTGAGACTTGTACTATGGTTATGTAGGATGTTAACACTTAGGGTAGGCAAGAATTCTCTGTACTACTGTCTCAATTCTGTGTGGCTCTAAAATCCAAAATGTTTAATGAAGAAACAGTGCGTTGGTGTTGCTAGTCTGTGTCTTAGCTGCTCAGGTGTGTCCAACTCTTTGCGACATCACGGACTGGGGCCCACCAGCCTCCTCTGTCCATGGAATCCTCCAGGCAGGAATACTGGAGAGGGCAGCCATGCCCTTCTCCAGGGGATCTTCCTGATCCAGGGATTGAACTCGGGTCTCCTGCATTGCAGGCAGATTCTTTACTATCTGAGCCACCTTGGAAGCCCTAATAAACTACTCTAATAAGTAAATAAATAAGCTACTCGAATAAACTACTAAATAAACCAATTTTTTCAGCAGGAAAACTCAAGTTCATGTGCCAAAGGCAGTAACTACACAGACCCTGGACCCACAGCAAGGCAGCGGGCAGAAAGGTGCTATAAATTACTAGAAGGTGCAGAGGTTAACTGGAGCTCTGGAGCCTGGATTTCTTTCAGTTCCTCTCTGCCCTCCGGGCCTTTGTGCCTGCTGTTCCCTCTGCTGGGAACGCTTTTCCCCACACCCTTCTGCTGGGTAACTAGTGCTGGGTAACATGCCCTTCAAATTGAAGCGTGACTGTCCCATCTTCCAGGACACTTTCCCTGACTACCCAGAGGAAACTAATTGCCACCCGTCATCCATCCTGGCAGACTCATCAACGCATTATCACCATTAGCATGGGCCTGTTCTCCCTGCCCAATGCGAGCTCCGGGAGGGGAAGCGCTTTGCTCTGCACTTTCACATGTATTTTCCCAGCAAACAGGCAAAGAAAAGGAGTGCTGCCCATGAGGACTCTCGGATCACAGATCCGCCAGCAGCTCCTCGCTGCTCTCCTCCAAATATCCAAGTTCCTTAACATGACAGGCAAGACCTGGGTATCCTCAACATCTAGGTTATTGCCTGGCGTTGTAAATGCTCATTAATCATTTAGTGGATGAGTAAACAGATCCATGGATGAATGTGTGCCAAGAGGACTCACACTGTAAAACCTCTACACCAGGCCAATCTGAGCTAGGAGAGAAGATGTAAAAATACCCCTAGGCCTCTGCAAAATGCTGTGTACTCACTAACTGCTTTTCTCGCCTCTGCTCCAGACTGGCAGCAATTCCCATCCTGTCCCATTCACCAGAGGAGACAAGAGAGGCACAGAGAAGCTAAATGACTCTCTAGGATCACACAGCGAATGGACTGTGGGCTTAATTCATGGGAAAAGAAACAGCTCTTAAGACTGCAAGATCCTTACACCCCACCCCAATTCAGAAGATCCTGCATTGCTATTAAGCACCCAAATCTTCCCAAGGGTCTAGCTTGGCTAGTTTAGAGTCAAACAACCAGGAGGTCCTTATTAGTCACTTTCAAATCAAGGGTACATCAAGAGGGCAAAAAGAAAGCAGCTTTGTGAGAGAGGGCGCAATTTCCAAGATGGCCAGCAGGTGGAAGCAGAGTGCACCCAAGTGTTGTATCCCTCCCCACTCACCTGCTGTTTTCTACAAGGTAATGAACAATTTTGTCCAGGACCTTCTCAAACAAGGCCGTGCGGATCCACAGGTGCTTGATGGCAAGTGGGGACAGGTTGGGCAGTTTTGGCAGCTTTCGCACGTTCTCCTGGAGGCCCTGGATCTGATTTCGCCTTTGAGACCAGCAAAGAAAGAGAATAGATACTCACAAAAGAGGAAATCCAACAGGATCAATATGCAAATAGGAAAGTGTCCAACTTCTCTAAGAAATGAAAGAATGGCAATTTGAACAGCAACAGGAGCCCACACTGCTCCTGGAGAATGGGAAAAAAGTTGGAAAAATAACAACACCCAGTGAGTGTGAAGATGCGGTCAAACTGACCCTTTCATACACTGGTGATGGGTAAGCCAGATTCTCACACTGAAATTTCTCTTTTACTTTCTGTCTCTCAGCTGGAAAGGAGTGCTGGCCAAGAAGAGTCTTGGATTCTTCTTTCATTTTGGAGGCTCCCCCATTGCTCTGGAGAAGCAAGCTTTATAACACGACAAGCAGGGCACTCCACGACCTTGCCCCGTCCACCTCCCCAGCCACCTCCTTACCACTCCCTGATTCTGACCCCACGATCCAGCCAGACAGGGATCTCTGCAGATCCCCAAAGCTGCCAGGCTTTCATCTGAGGACTTTCTGTGAGCTGCTGCTTCTTTCTGGCTTCCCTCCCCACTCTATTATCTGGCTGAACCCTGGTCACTCTTGAGGTCTCAGGGAGGGCACCCCCTCCTACAGAAGCACTCGAGCACCAGCTGAAGTTGGGGAGGCCCCCCCACCCTGTGTTCCGTGGACTTCTGCAGCTTAACTTCTTGCTCACTCCTCTGTCTTCTCCTCCACAATGGGACCTCAAAGGCATGGATTATGCAATTCAACTGCTTTTTAAATAAAACTCGGAGAGTCTGCCACATGGCAAGCTTTGGCCCTGTTTCCTGCCTGTATCTCCAGGGCCCAGCACAGTGCCTGGCATGTATGGGGGGCTCAGTAAATATGTCCATAAAAGAATGATGGCAAAAATGAGTGAATGGGCCCCTGGAATGAACATCTCTCATTTCTCCACTAGAAAGTTGCTCCCAATGTTATGGAAGGTTCATGGAAATCCACCCCTTTAAGAAGCTATCAGCAGACACCTGGGAATTTAGCAGATGGACTGGAAGACCCCTAAGGACCAGGTGGCTGAAGAGTCAGGTTCCGAATGGGAACTAGCAATGCCAAGTCCAGAGCGCTGCCCATAGTGCAGTTCTGGCCAGCAGCCCTGGGCTGGCAGGGCCTGAAGGGCAAGGAAAGGCCATTTCTCTCACAGTGAAGTGGAGCGGCCACTCATGGCAGCGAGGGCAGACACATGGCATGCCTGCCTCTCTCTCCCTTCTCTTGCCCATAACACGTGGCCACATGTGTTCATCAATCCATGCACTCTTTCCCACGAAGCCCACTCACAACTCCAGAACTTTCCACAAGACAGTTCTCTGTCGGTCTTTGGGCTCTTGTAAAAGCAATGAGCTCCGGCAGGAAAACCTCACAGCCAGCAGCACCAACTGGGGAGGAAACCTATTTGCCACCCCTGACCAGGCTCCAGGATGGGGGCTTGGCTGCGCAGTTGGGACTCTGGGGGTGGTTCTGGTGGGAGGCACTCATTTACACATTCTCAGGCCACGAGCCACTAAGACAATGCCCCCATAAATGGCTGCTTCACTGTGAGCATCAGATCCATGCAGACGGAGACCATGTGGTTATATTAAACTTCGATCTGCCTGCATTTGGCACAGGCCTGGCTCAGTAGGCACTTACTCATTCAACAATCGTTTCCTGGGCATTTCCCGGGTGCTGGGCGCTATCCCAGACACTGGTGACCTAATGGGGAGCAGCACATATCCAGATGCCTATCCTCATGGAGTTCAGAGGCCAGTGGGGGAGACTGATAACAATCAGGTTAACAGTAAATGAATGAATGAAAAATTATAGGTGGTGATAACAACTGGGAAGATAATAAGCAGAGTGATATAAAAGAGAAACGGGGTGAGGGTTAGAATTTACTACTAGTTAGAGGGCGTTACCATCCTTGGGGATGACAAGGAATCCACCACGGAAGATGAGGGGTGTGAACTGGGGGGAGGGTACAGCATGCGCAAAGGCCCTGGGGTATGAGAGAGCCTGGCAGGTCTGAGGAGCAGAATGGGGAGTGGAGAGGGGGCCGGGAGGTACGGGCTCCTGCGGACCCCAGGCAGGAGCACAAGCTGTCCTCTGGGGGTGCCCCGGCCCACACCCCGCGCTCAGCACTCACGCGCTCTCGATCAGCTGCTCCAGGTCCTGCACCTTGCGGCTCAGCTCCTCGGCCGGCGGGAAGCTCTTGCCCACTTTCATGAAGAGAGCTGCGATCTTGTTGCTGCGCAGGAAGCCAGCCGCCCGCCTCCGCAGCCCGTGCAGGACGCAGGCCTCCACGGCCGCTGCAGGGACACCGCGGTCAGCAGACCCCACCCATGATCCGCCCCCACGCCCACCCTGGCTCTGGGCTTTCTCAGTCACACACAGGTGCCTTGAAGGTCTGGGGCCCCCAAAGTCACCAATTTCATGATAGCATCACTATGATAGCATCATGGTGAAAAGCCTGTATGCCTCTCCACCGTCCAGCCCCTCAAAAGGGAGCAAGAGGGCTTAGTGGTGAACCCACGCTTGCTGCCCCAGGTCAGATCATCTCTGTGCACATCCTCTCCTGGCCCCTTACCAGCTGTGTGATGGTGTGAGGGGAATCACTTCCCCTCCGCATGTCTCAGCTTCCTCATCTGTAAAATGGGATAGTGTGAACAGTAACCTCATAAGGTTGCTGTCAGGATAAGGTGGGAAAAAATGCATGGAAAGCACTTTGCTCAGAGCCTGACACGCATGTGTGCTTTATGAAGGCTAGCTATTCCTCCTTTCAGTGAAGGAGGGGAGCCTGGACTGCGTGACTGCCTAGCTGTATTTCAGTTAAAAGAATCACACTGCTGTCATTACCACTGTGATTTCAGTAACAGTTAACATTATGGATCTCATTCAATCTCCGCCATGGCCAGGCAGAAAGGAAAACCATCCCCATTTTCCAGATGCAGAAACGGAGGCTTGCAGCAGTGAGCTGAGTTGCCAGGGCCACCCAGCAAATAAGTGAAGGAGCTGGGATTCATACCCATGTCTGAGCCCAAGGTGTGCTCACATCTGCGCCTCCACAAAGCGCCTTTGAAGAGAGGTTTCAGTCTTAATCTTCCCACTTCTGTGTCTCCCCTGGAGGCTCTGTCCAGCCCTCCTCAAACAAGAGACCCAGGGCATAGCCTGGGTTCTACTAACTTGCTGCGTGACCTCAGGCAAATAAACTTTCCCTCTCTGGCCCTCAGAATTCCCTCCCAAGAAACAGGCCCTGTGCACGCCATTCTGATGGCCTCTATCCTACATATCTGATGTTTTCAGATGCTTTAAATTTTTTTAATTTAAAAATTAATATGTATTTATTTGGTTGTGCCGGGATCCTTAGCTGCGACGTGTGTAACGCTTAGCTGGGGCATGAGGGATCTAGTTCCCTGACCGGGGCTGGATCCTGGGTCCCCTCTGTTGGCAGCGTGGCATCTGAGCCACTGGCCCACCAGGGGAGTCCCTGGGCAGCCTCTATCTTCTGACTTGCTGTCTTACACAGCGGCCTGGGAACTCACGCTGCTATGCACTAGGAGCATAATCCATGTCTATGGGAAAACATGAGCTTATTAAGGGCTACTCCTTACTCTCACCGGGCACCTGCTGGGCGTCAGACCAGTGCTAAGGTTCACCTTCCCTAATCCCTGCAGTGAAACTCAAGAGGCCAGTGTTCTAGTTACTATCGTTTCACAGAGGAGGACCCCAGCACGCGCAGGGTTAAGAGCCTGGCAAGGCCATGCCATGCGCAAGGAGAAATGCTGAGAAGTTTCGGGGTGACTGCTTGCCCCGTTCCTGCTGTTGTCAGCAATGACTTGGCTTTGAAGGACTGTTCACACACTGCCTAATCTGCTCATCGAATTAAAATATTCTGGGAGATGATCTTTAAAATAGCTCCAATTTTGCTTACATATCTAGGACTTTTCATTTGCTTACAGTGATTAAATTCATGATCTAGTACAGCTTGGTAAACATTGTTCCATGTTTTTCTGACAATGGCTCATAAGGAACAACGGACAAAAGAAACCTCAGGGACATCCTTCAGGCCTCATTTAATGCGGGCATGTTTCTCTCACCCCTGAACTTTGATCGGAGTTAAGAGAGTTATTATGATTCTTATCACTTGCTAAAATCTTCTAAGTCTTGATCTTCTAAGTCTTTAATTGGTAGGTATGCTAGCAAGCCCTGAAACAGACATGCATATTAAGTTTTTTGCAAATAAAAATGTCCAGGAGAAAAAAGAAAGCCAGAGATCTATATTTATATAGAGAGATATATATTTCCATATACATATGTGAGTATATGGGCATGTGTATATGTGTATTTTTACATACATAAAATATTTTTCGGGGAATTCCCTGGTGGTCCAGGAACCAGCGCTTTCACTGTCATGGGCCCAGATTCAATCCCTGCTCAGGGAACTAAGATCCTATGAGCAACGCAGTGTGGCCAAAGGGAAAAAAAAAGGAAAAAAAAATATATTTTTAATGTTTGTATGTATATATATATATACTCCTGCATTGGCGGTCTTCCCCGGTGGCTCAGAGGTTAAAGTGTTTGCCCCCAATGTGCGAGACCTGGCTTCAATCCCTGGGTTGAGAAGATCCCCTGGAGAAGGAAATGGCAACCCACTCCAGTATTCTTGCCTGGAGAATCCCATGGACAGAGGAGCCTGGTGGGCTGCAGTCCGTGGGGTCGCAAAGAGTCGGACACAACTGAGCGACTTCACTTTCACTTTCATATATATATATATATAAACATANGTAAATCCTCATTTATTTAGGACTCAACTTCTAGAGGGCTTTCCTTGTGGCTCAGCCAGTAAAGAATCCATCTGCGATGCGGGAGACCTGGGTTCCATCCCTGGGTTGGGAAGATCCCCTGGAGAAGGGAAAGGCCACCCACTCCAGTATTCTGGCCTGGAGAATGCCATGGACTGCATAGTCCATGGGGTCGCAAAGAGTCAGACATGACTGAGCGACTTTCCCTTTCACTTTCATGCACATTTATTTACATAAAGATATATTGGCTAAAAAAATAAGATCTTGCCGAAGGTCATCCAGCAAAGAAGTGGCAGAGATGGGATTTGAGCAGAGCTGGGCGGCCAAAGAGCAGAACTGACGTCAGTGGTTTCCCAGGTCGTGGCGTGCGCTCAGCTGGTTGCGGGCCCACAGGCGGTGTCCCCCGCCACCTGGACGGAAGCTGATGGGTCCCTCCTGGAGCCAAGACCGTGAGAGGGGCATGATCGCTTGTCCTTCGTGGAGAGACACTCCACAATCATGAGGTTAGAAGGTCCTCAGGGAGAAAGAGACACTCCCACGTATACGTACACACTGCGTACACGCTGAAGCGTATGTGCTGAATCCTGACTTCAGAGACACGCAGGGCCCATGCCTCCTGCCACTGTGAAGGGAAAGGAAGAACCTGGCAGCTAGCCTTACAGGTTCAAGGAGAGGGAGAGGGCTGAGTCACGCTCCGAGCCCCGGGCCTGCCTCCTTTGCTGAGCCAGCTGGCCGCGATCCCTCAGCAAGTGTCCACGGCTCCTTGATTCCTTCAAGTCCCCATCCATCCTGTCTCTCTACCTGGGCGAGGAAAGGACGCGGAGCCCATCCCTCAGAGGCAAGCGCCCCGGTCGCCGGGGGTGGGGTCGGTGTGAGTGGAGCCCACGGGAGGGGAGGCATCTCTCCGGGTCGACCGTGATTACCCCTTCCCAGGGCACAGAAAGTGAAAGTGAAGTCGCTCAGTTCTGTCCGACTCTTTGCGACCCCATGGACTGTAGCCTACCAGGTTCCTCCATTCATGGGATTTTCCAGGCAAGAATGCTGGAGTGGGTTGCCATTTCCTTCTCCAGGAGATCTTCCGGACCCAGGGATTGAACCCGGGTCTCCCGCATTGTAGGCAGATGCTTTACCATCTGAGCCCCCAGCACAGATGCCATTCTTAAGGTCTTCTCTCATCTTTTCCCTACTTCCAAATTCCCTAATGGAGTCACTTTGGGATCTGGAGAACAACCTCACAGTTACGAAGCAGCAAAAGCATGACCTTTGGGAATCTTTGCTCAAAGAAAGCTGCCACAGTCCCGAGGCAGCCCACAGAGAGAAAGCCGCTTTTCAAGGCCGCCTGGGGCCACTGACTCACCGCAGAAGGAGATGATGTGGCTGCTGTCCTCGTGGACAAACTTGCGTGTGACCGCCTCCTCCATGATCTGCTTCACCTGGAAGGCAGGGGCGCCGGAGAGTGAGACCCTACTCTACCTGGGGAGCAGGCACCCCAGGCGGCTGCACTGGCCCCGCCCCCACAACAGCATTCTCGGGTTGCTTGGGATGTTTTGGTAACTGCGTTCCCTCCTCGCATTCCCTATGTTTTCTGTAGGGCTGAGGCCTGTGGATCCTGCTACCCCCACACTCCACGCTGAAGTGAATTCTTTTTCAGGCTCTTTGCATGGTGGGCTTCTTTTGAGATGTCAGATGAAGTGTCATCTCCTTCCCCGTCTATGCAATCTAAGGCACCCCGCCTACAACTTCTTCCATCCCCTGTTATAGCTCCTTCAGGGTACTTCCTGTCCTATTTCTTTGCTTACTGTCTGCCTCCAATAAGTTCCTCAAGGGCACGGCCTCATCTGCCTTGTTCACTGTTGTATCCACGGAGCCTAGAACAGGGTCTGGTGCATCGTAGGTGCATCAAATATTTTCTGAGTGGATGAATGAATGAATGAAATGAGTACATATAAAAAAAATTGGGGAGGGGGTGCAATATGAAATGTCAGCCCTGAGATCCAGGAGATCATGGTTCAAATCCCTGTTCAGGTGCCTACCAGCTGGATTTGTGGTCTTATTTTGGGAAACTGAGGTCAGCAACATGTAGAAATTCACCCAGAGAAGTAGACAGAGCGGCCCAGAGTGGAGACAGATTTCAAGATGGGTCTGACTCCCCAGGCTGTGTTTTCCACACTACATCCACTCAGTCGATAAATGTTCACTTAGTACCTGTGAGGTGCCAGGCACAGCGGACACGGCACTCAAAGGGCAGCCATGCCTCTGCTCACGCTGGTGACCCTCTGCCGGCCTGAACGCCCTTCTGCTTTGCTGGATTCTGGGCCCCAGAGTCACTGAAGTACTTTAAGCAAAATGTTTCTCCCCTCTGGGTCATCAGTTTTCCCACCTTGAGGAGGTGGGAAGAGATGATATCAAAGCCTAGGTCACCCAAGGCCACACGGCTAGGAAGGAGCAGAGCTGGAATTCTAACCTGTAACAGTGTTTCTCACCTTGGCTCCAGCGGCCATATCCTGGCCCCTCCAGCTACTAGCTGTATTTCCTCAGGCAAATCAAGCCGCCTCTCTGAACGTTAGTTTTCTCACTGGGTAAAGGGCTTGTGGGGCTTTCCCAGGTGGCACGGTGGTAAAGAACCTGTCTACCAATGCAGAAGACGTAAGAGACGTGGGTTTGACCCCTGGGCTGGGAAGATCCCCTGGAGGAGGGCATGGCGGCCTGCTCCAGCACTCTTGCCTGGAGAATCCCAAGGACAGAGGAGCCTGGCGGGCTCCAGTCCACAGGGTTGCACAGCACTGGACACGGCTGAACCGACTTAGCACGCACACACGAAGGGTTTGTAGGAACAGTGATAAGGGGCACTGGGAGGATGACACAAGGCAATGCGCACCATGCGCTGAGCACACAGCCTGCACACAGCGTGCCTGCAATAAACGTGAGCTGCATGCAGGCCACTGCCCTGCCTAGAGCCTCGCCTCTGGCCTCCTTCACTGCTAATTCTGATCCCGGCTGAAACGTTAGCTGTTTCAGTTAAATCGGCTTGCTTGAGGTCCGACAGTGGCTGCTTCTGTAACACCCATCAGGTTTACAGTGATTTTGCTAAGGCCTGTCGCCCGTGCCATGCTGTGGATCCCATGAGGGCAAGCACTCCATGTCCCCCTGCTTTACAAATGTGGTTCCAGCACACAGCTGGCGCTCAATAAAGTAGCGTTTGAGGAACGAACGCCTTGAAGGATCACGACTGACTTTCTGCTTTGGTAGAATATTTTAGTCCAAAGGAAAAAAAGCTTTCTTGTCACTACGTGAAACACGCTCAGTCGTGTCTGACTCTGCGACCCCGTGGACTCTGTCCATGGAATTCTCCAGTCACTATAATCACGGGTAAACGGGGCAGCAGCTGCTGATCCCTGGAGCAAGCAAAGGCACAGAGAGGCAGAGAAACCCACCCAGGGTCACACAGCTGGTGAGGAGCGGACTCAGGGCTTGGACCCAGGTTTATCTCACACCAGGGGTTGCGCTCCTTCTACAACATGCCGTCAAGCAGGTAAAACCAAATTAAAAAGAAAAAAAAAATTAACCTCCCAGGGGAAACAGCCACCAAGGGCAGCCTGCAGGGGGTGTGAAGGAGGGCTGCAAGCAGGTGGACAGAGAGAGCAAGAACTCCTGCGTGCATCACTGCTTCCAAAGTTCTCTCCTGCCTGCCTCGCCTCTCTGGATCAGCGTAAGAACTGCACGGTAACACCCTCACCTCTTATAGAGGAGGCAACGGAGACGAGGAGGGAGCACACTCCTCTGCAAAGGGCGGTTCAGGGTCCTCCAAAATTCATCTGCTGAAACCCAAACTTGCACTATGATGGGGTTAGGACCTGGAACCCTGATCTACCACTGGTCTGCCAGAAGTACACGGAACAGCCTGAAATTTGTGATCAGTGCCTGAAATTGGGGGGTGGGGGTCAGTATCATGGGACTGAGCCCTTAACCTGTAGCATCTGATGCCACCCCTGGGTAGACGGTGTCAGAACTGAGTTAACTATAGGACACTCAGATAGTGTCAGAGAACTGTTGTGCGGAAAACCCACACGTCCGGTGTCTGAATACTGAGTGGGGGACAGACCAGAGCAGAGGAGAAACACACAGGAGGGGCGTGTGTTTGCAGCTCACCGACTGAGAACAAGAACGTTTGGCTCTGCGGGCCTGGCACATTTCTTTTAGCAGCAGGACAGCTCTTGCGGGGGAAGGGCAGGGAGGCGGGGAGCGTCAAAGCCTGACCACCCCATGCCATGGCAGGCCCCAGCTCCCTCCAGAGAGAGGGCTGGCTCCTTCTTAAGCAGGTCACAGCCCTCCTGCCGACGTCCTCCTGTTCCTTGGAGGTGGCCATCTGCCGGTCACCCTCTGGAGTGGCTCTGACGCGGAACCCTACGGCCTGCCGCCTCCGCCCCCACGGTGAGCCCAGAGACGACCAGGCCCATTGGCTCCATCCACAAAAGGAGGCCGTGAGCTTCCTGAGGACACGTGAAAAATCTCTCAGCTTTGACTTCTGGTTCGGCCATCAACTAGGAGGTGGCCTAAGCCTGGCACCGACCCTCGGAGCCGTGGTTTCCCCCTCTCTCTGACGTCAAAGACCAGCTCGGGACGCCTTAAACTCTTTCCCTTCCCTTCACTTGCCACCTTCTTTCCAGTCCTCTAAACCGTCACCTCCCCTAATGTTACAGGCTCAGCTGTGGCCCTCCCTGGCCCCCCACCAAACTTGTATCTTGAAATCCTATCCTTCGGTTCCTCCAAACGTGAGGGTGTTTGGAGATGAGATCTTTACAGAGTGATTAAGTGGAAGTCAGGACATTTACAGCGAGCCCTAGTCTGGTATCATCTGGGGTCCTTACACGAAGAGGAAATTTGAACACGGACGGTCACAGAGGAGCATGCGAAGATTCAGGGGGCAGACAGTCATCGACAGCTGAGGGGGAGACCTCTTAGACCCTTCCCGCGAGGCCCTCAGAAGGAACCCGTCCTGCCGACACCTTGATCTCGGACTTGCAGCCGCCAGAGCTGTGAGAAAATGCATTCCGGCCTCCCGCCGTTCAAGCTGCCGAGTGTGTGGTCCCCTGCTGTGGCAGCCTGAGCCGACTCACACCTCTGCCATCTTCCTCTCTCTCTGGAAGGCCTGGGGCATCCCAACCCATGGCACGTGGCAGGTAGCACTGATGAAATGCAAGCGGGGTGGGGTCTTGGGCGGGGGTGATTTTACTTCTTGGAGCTGCAGGAGGGCCTGGCCGAGCAAAATGAAGATTCAGAGGTCCGCTGGTGGCAAAACTGTGGGCAAGTATTTTGCTTTGGGGGAAAAAACCTGCGGGGGCGGGCACTCTGTGCTCTTGAGTGCTAGAGGGCTTTCTGGTTTGGGGCTGGAGAAGAAGGAAGAGTGTGGGGTGCAGGGGCCATGGGCCTCAGGGACAGAGAGAAGAAGGCGGGGAGGGGGGTGGGCTGTGAGAAGGTTCTGATGATGTGGCAGCTGCCACGAGGCACCCCTCGGATCCCATGAGGACCGGAGGCTGGGAGAGCTGCTGGCCCCTCGGGACAGGGTCGCCTCAGCTGCACAGAGAGCCCTTCCAAAGTCTCGCTCCTTCCCGAGGTCGGCGGGGCAGGTGTCGTCCAGGGAATGATGCATGTGGCTGTGAAGATCCGGCATCCTTGCCCTCACAGGGGACAGCTCACAAGGGCCCTCCCAGTTCCCCACGGGGCTGGTGGGGGCTGCCGGGGGCTTCCGTGGAGGCCAGCTCAGGGCCCAACTTCTCCTTCCACTCACTCCCGCTACTCTGCCTCACCTCCCCTGGAGTTGACCCCAAGAACAGGCCCCTGTAAACTTCCTGCATCCTGACCTGCATCTCAGTGCTGACCTCCCATCAACGCGTCTGGACAGCAATCTCCAGGGACAAGTTGCAAATGATACAAATGCAGGGGAACTCATCTGGGCAGGCAGCAAGAGAATCAGCCATTGGGTACTGAGCTCGAGGTGGGAGAGCCGTGGGGATGGAGTCGGACAGTCCTGGGCTGGAGGGGCCCTTAGTCCTAAGAGCCATACGCTAAGAGAGGCACCAGGTACGTGCAATGGGGACTGGCAGAGCTGCTCCAGGAGGAGCCTAGAGGTACCAGCACCTGCTGGGAACCGGTTATAAATACAAATGATCGGCCTCATCCTGGACCTACTGAATCAGAAACCCCAGGGTGGTTATCAAGACCCCCCAGTGATCTTCTGCACGCTCCGACTGCACAGAGGAGCTAAGGAGATGGACGGAGGGCGGGAGAGAGTAGGGAAGGGTGGGGGAGGATATAAAACAGGGAACTGTCCCCAAATCCTCAAGGAAGATACGCAGCAGTCACAGCTGTGTCCAGGGACCCTCCCCACACAGCAAGCTCCTCCTGGGAATGACTTTCTCACACACTGGTCAGGCTAGGGGCGGTGGTGCTTCCTGGCTCCCCAATGTTAATATCACAGAGTGCTGCATGCTTCCTGCAGTCTCTCAGCATCCTTTCCTAGCCATAGTCAACAGTCTTTTATTAAATTCATCTTAATGTCCTCGGTTTGGGGGAGCCATCTGCTTCCCATCGGCACTCTGACTGCACACATGCCCTGTCTCAAGTTCAAAATCTGCCAGAGAAGACTGTTTGCTTACAGCTGCAGATCCCAAACTCAGATCTTGAGGTCACACAGTCAGGAAGCTGGCTGCAGGGAGGAGTCCCCGGCATGGATCCAGGGCAGGGGGGCTGGAGGGGAGAACGCAGCATCGAGGTGTTCTCAGCCTGAAGGAGGGGTTCTGGTGAGTAAAGGCCCCTCCCCACTTCTGCTGGCTCCCAGCTGTGGGCTATCGCATCTCCCCAGAAGTTAATAAAGGGCCGACAGC